AGTCAGTCTAAACAGTATTTGTTAAGTTATTGGAAGTTGTAAGAATTTGTCACCCCCCATCGCCAACCGCCGTCACAAAAATGATGTCAAATATATGTCACCACTTTTTGATGGTGACATAAAAATGCAATTATCAATTATACCTGCCTTTTCTACTCGATTGAACAAAAAATCGAATTCAATGGAAATCATAAAATCTTTTCACTTTTCATTCGCTTAGTATCATTGGCGATTCATATCTTGGATCGTTTTTACAAAAACATTTAATTTTCTAAAAATCATATCATACTCACGGTTCCTCGAAGCAGAAACCAATGGAAATACACTTCTTCATGGGATAGTGTTGCTGACACGAGCTACAAATCGTTCGTTTATATCTTACTTCATTTTCACCATTATCCCCCTGTTTGACTTCATCGAGTGGATACGCGTCTGTTCTAACATTCCAAAGCGTAAACGTCAGAGAGACAATGAACAGTAAAGTTATGGCCAATTTCATTGTTCCAGCTGTTACAGTTGTAGCTTGCACCAGCAGTGGTTATTGAATTTCTAAGGAGAAATTTAAAGTCCTGAGTCTTATCTGTGATTTAGAAGTAACTCGATGCCAGGAAATAAATACTGGAATTCAATAAATAATGTGAGAAAAATCGTTAATATAAAAAGGAAACATAAATATTGTGTATTGAATTCAAAATTCGAGATTCATTGCGTTCCAAGTCAGACAGTCTAACATGGGGGTAAATTAATATTAATATAAATATGAAAATATATCCTCTTTATCGTAATGATATTTTACTGACATGACATAAAATTGATAAAATTTACCTGCGTTTGCTGCGAGTCTCAAATACCACCACAGGAAATGACTTACTTCTTTAACTAAATTCAAATTATTGGCGTGCTTCTTTATGCAGTGTCACATTTTAAATAGACTTTTCATGTTACATCGAATATTTTAAGTGTTCGATCAATAACTTTATTATCAATATTTGACCAGTGAAACTCAAAACTTTAAAATTTAAAAAGTGACATATGAATGAGTAATAAAATTGTTATGGTAATGTAGATGAAAGAATGGAAATCCAAAATATCAGAAGTCTATATGTAGGTTTATATATTTCAGTTCATTTACATACAGTACAATCTATCCTCAGCAAGTGGTGACTGCAATTGTTTCTCTAATGATGATTAGTTCGTTTTAAATCTACAATTCTCACTTTTCAAAGGAGTTAATGTCATATATGATTGAACGAGGCCACTGTTTACATATTTTAGACTTAAACAACGATCACTTATAAAGGTGGACTGGGTAAAATTGTAATTATTTGTTTTTTTATTGAATTGCAAGACTTACCACAAAAAATAAATAAATAAACTAAACTAAACTATAAACGTATGCTTAGGAGGACCGGTTTAGTAATTTGAATATATTAACACCTGAGTATTATCTAGACGATTCCAAGCTTTTGAATGCCCGTTTGAGTTTCCCCATCATAGAAGATTGCAATAGTCAACGAATGACTGGATGCACGCTTTGTACAAGGTTTTACTTTGTCAGACCTCATTTTCTTTATAATGATATGAGGTTATCACCAAAGTATACCATATACACCCCCTATATAAGTTTAGCAACCCTTCACCCATAGACTTGCATGTTAATAATAACTAATTAAATGAATCGCGGTGAAGGGAGTGCTAAACAATTATAATCCTAACAAAAACAATGCAAAAGAAATTACACAACATGAACAGGACACAACATGAAAATGGTTATCGTTCTTTATACAGGATTCTTTATTGCAATTCAAACATGATCCTGGTCAATGGCGAAGTAGAACATAAAAACATGTTTTATGATTGCATATGAAACTTTTGATTTACTAATTTGAATAAAGCAATAAATACATGAAATATGGACTAGTTTTGTATTAGAAATACCAAATAGGGGTGATCAAGCTACAACTATTTATAAGGTTTTAGTAATCAAAATAGTATGAAAGAAAGATAATTGATTTGATGCAGAAGTTTGCAGACACATTAAGAAAACTTGGTCGAAAACATAGTATTGACTGAAATTAACACATTGATTATATGCTGTCACCTCTTTTTTAACAATAGCACTGCTCAGTCAGTGCATATATCAATAATTAAATGCACGGCTTAATCATTTTTCTGCATCCAATAAATTAATGCACCGAGCACGTTCTGAGCTGATTCGCTGAGACACACTTGGCATGTTTGAATATCCATTATTAAGTTGAATTAATGATTACTATAGGTATTAATTATTTAATTTTATTCCATGGTGTATTAAATGTATTGTTACTGTATGTTGATCACTTGTGCCCCAATGTTGCAAGTTTATCTGAAAGTAAAATAAATATAAAGATGAAGTCAACTAGGTCAAAAGCAAAGAACATGAATATAAATAGTATCTTAACCTTTGAAATGCAAATTCGAAACAACTTCCTGTAATTTGCACATCAACAGACATTTTACCTGAAAAAAGCAAAGCCCGGAAGAGATGACAAATGTAATCTCGTTACAAGGAGAATGTCACCTGCAAATGATAAGAGGTGCTCTTCATACCATTATACAGGGTTTCCACTCTCTTTATGCACGACCACCTGTATGATTTTCCATATTTGGTGACGAACATAGTTGTGACAGCTACATCCTATCAATTGAATGCATGTTAGCAAAGAACCACAACTAAATACGAGCGCTTGAAACTTAAACTTGAGAGAAATTCAGTGACTTTTTATCATTGCAAAATAGTAAAACATGCAGGCACATGAAAACTAAGCCCCAACATCTCATATTATGATCTCATTCACAAAAATGAAAACACTGCTTAACATCCCTCCACTCATTATAATGTAATATATGAGAAAAATAAAACGATGCGCTTGTATATTGACCATAGATGCAAAATCAAATCACTATATACAGGGTGAGCTGAAATTGGACACGCACTTAAATTCTCTTTAAGATAGTGTACATGTATATGAACAAAATGCCATGAAAATTAATGATTTCGAGTCATTAACTTAACATTTGTAATGTACATGTATGAAAAGAATTGAAGATATGTATGGGTACATTTTATGTTACTATAATAAAATTTCTTTATTTTTAATGTGTGAAATCTGTATTTAGTAAATTCACATCGCCCAACTTCAAATTCTGCAACATTTACTAGTAAGAAAAAATTGAATGCATCTCATTTAAACCCATTACATTCCTCATTTTTGGTTTTACAAATGGTTCCACTATGCATGGACTTTTTTCAGGTCCGTGATCTATGTCATCTTATTTTTAAGAATGATGCTAAAAATTCCATCTTATGGCCAACACTGTATCTATCATTATAAAAATATTATTTATCATAATTATACTCACACTTCAGGATCACAGCCCGCTTTTCTGCATAAAGACAATGGAGCATACTTCTGACACATACTGCAAAGACTTCGTTGGTATCTTGAGTCACTCTTGCTGACACTGTCCTTTTCGTGTTCTATCTCATCATGTGGATACGCGTCTATTCTCACATTACATATCGTACACGTCACACAGACAATGAGTAGGAACGCTATGGACATTCTCATTTTGCCAGATGTGTCAATAGTACGTAAACGTTACTAAGACGCACTCCAGCAACGACTGGCGAATTTCAGAGAACAAATTCTGTGTCATAAAGTAATCGTAGTTGTAACTTGATAGTTGTATAACGTATTTTGATATCAGGAAATACATACATTGAAAATTCAATAATGTAAGATAAATAGTTTAAATTAAAGAAACATAATTATTTTAAAATGGATTGTTTTATATACGTTATAAACTTATAAACGTTATCTTGATAAGTAAACGACTATGTACAATCAAGCTGTTCAATAAATGTTGATATAAAATTGAAATAACAGAATGTTTCGTGTATTGTAAAACCAAATTGATCGGTGGTTGGGGATTTAATAATAATCGCCTGTTTGTCTGAACCACGATAGAAAGTAATAATCTAAAATAATTCGATATCTTTAGTAATTTACTTCTAACAAAACAAGATTAAACGGAAGACAGCTACCTAGATACATTTGCACTCGCATATCCATATCAAAAGTACTCATACAAACCAAATATACAAACTGTAGGTGTATGTGGGTCTCTAATCTCTATAAAAATATATATTATTTTCGTCAGAGTGCTTTATAAATATATGGGAAAATGGAATTTCTTTTGAGAATATGCTCAAATATACTTTATAGCTGGGGATGTCTTACTTATGAATTTTTGGACCACATTGTACTTAAATCTGCGTAAATAACATCGTCACTTTTTTAATCAAGTGAGTGCAAAAGAATACTAGGAATACTGGAAAACTAAAAAATTTAAAATACTCACTGAAATGGATTGACAGAAAATCAGATAGTTGTTTAATTATAGTTTGTTTTAGAATTGATTCTATATTATGTTACAATCAATACAACGATCATTTGGCACAAAGATTCTTAAAGTATTCTGTCAGTCGTATCAAGAAATCCTTGGTGTACTAATACAATAATGATGTGAAACACATTTTCTTTCAACCAAAATATGTTTTCATTCAACGAGGTATATTATGCCCACTGGCAATAAAATACTTATTAAAATACATTATTTATCAGATGTGTACTTGTTAAATACGCCTACTAAATCTTAAAATCATAAAATAAGTAAAACATCGATTATATTATTGAGTTTCCAATTAAGTGGCCTAATAATTTAATTACTCAAAAGTGTATTCCATATAATTTAATTACTCGAAAGTGTATTCCATATCCGCGTTCGTTTTACCTCACAATCCATAAAATTTGTATAATGTAATTGTAATTCATTTAATCTTTAGTTATGCATTCTAAAACCTTTTAGTTTACATTGCTAGAAAATGCAGGTAACCTTGAAGTGTAAACCATGTTTTTAAAACAAAACTGGATACATTATCCAATTATAAAATCCGTTTGTATAAATAATAATTCCAAAGCCATCGACGTTTAGACAAGACAATGACGTACTTAGATATGCATATACGCAACAGTTCAAGAAAAAATAACAAAATCAATTGAATTATTAAAGATTTATGAATGTTTCTTTAGTAAATAACTTGTTCAAATTAAATAACATCAAATAATTGATTTTTCATCAAGCATTTCCTTTGTGGTACATATGGTGACATCTATGACGCATCATCTGGCGAGTCAGCAATTACATTTTCTAACCTCAGTTGTGTAATCTGAGAATCGTCCCAACTAAAGTCACATATGACAAGCTGGAAATAAATGATTAATGTATACACACGCGTTATTGCAAATGTGATATAAAGTAATTATCAAAATGTATTTATAATTAGAAAACGAAACAAAAAACACAATAAATAATCAGAAAACAGTCCCAAATATCCCAACCAATAATTGAACGTACAGAGTACAGACTTGTTCAGTGCTTGAGCACCCCCTCCCTCATTGTTTTTACTATAGTTTTTGTTTATAGTACTGAGTGGGGAAGGATGCTAGCAGCTATGTTTATTTTGGGTTCTCACGTAAAAAGCTTGTTTCTGGTAATCACAGCGCCATCTACAGTGTTTGGTAAATGGTGTAAATTGTTTCATGATAGGGTAATAAATTAATTATTGATCTATACTATGAAATAACATTGCTACATGGTCACATTATCAAATCCGTGTAACGGTAAATTACATTTTTGCCCTATATTTTACAAATCAGACCTAAGTTGTATTGCGTAAGTATCACTGAGCTCACCTCATCGATGAGTCCAACGTAGTCGATACCGACTGTCAGTGGCATTTTGGTAGGCTTAATATTTACTGGAAGTGGAAACAAATCAGAGCAAGTTTTAAACAATTCCGTTCAAATACTATTCTAGTTGATATAATTATAACTACAGGCATTATTTCAGATTCGAGTTAAAATGTAAAATTGACCTTGGATTGGAATCAAGGGTAACCATCGAGCCTGGATAACAAAGTTGCGTTGCTTCAACAGCTATGGGATTTAATAAAAATGCATGTTGGTACCAAGTATCAAATGATTTTTAATCGAAATTCAGTCTATTCCGCCATTGTAATTCAACGCCGAAACGACGCCAAAAGGTTTCCATTTCAAAACCGAGTCGGCGTAGTTCTACAGCACCAAATTATGGTTGCAGTTTGAACTGTGTTTAAGCTATAGACTTACAATTTTTGGGTTTTTTATTGTCACCGACAGCTTGGAACATCTCCTCAAACGTGGTAGGTTCGAGGGCACTTTGCAATCTTGTCAAATCAAAATCTTCGTAAAGCTTAAGGAGGTTCTTCATGTTGTCTGTAGTAGCACGCATATCAAACACGTGGTTCCATCTAATATATAACACACACAAAGCTTTTGACAAAAAATTTGAAACCTCTTTAATATATTAAACTGATATTTAAGAATCAAAAGTGAGAATAGAGTGTATACATGTGTTCTCTTTTTCTGTCTTATTATCACGAAATAAATCATGCATGACGTCATGTAACTATACCTCGGTATAATATCTACGATTATTTCTTTTAGCAAGACTTCGACCTGCTCTAGCGCCATGATGTTCTCAAAGTTGTTCTCTGTTGATAACAATTCTGATATTTTCCTCAGTCCTTCTCGCTCTAATTGAAATCTGCTCCTCCTAATAGAAATAGAAAAATATCAATGTATATACACGTCGCACGAAACTGGGGAAAATTAGCGTAACATTATGGCGTCAAAAACCAAAACAAAACAATGAGCAGTATAGGGCGGAAACAGCCTTACAACGTCAAAATCTAATCATTACAAAATTCACAGGGTAGCAAGATCTCGAGGACAATATTTCTAAAATGTTTTTGAATTTTGAAAAACGGTCAAGAAATCCATTTGGGGCGTTAGTAAAAATTGATATGTATGGAATTTGTGGTACAAAATCGATGCGTCACATTTTTTTCAAGTCTCGAAAACCAGCTCTTATTTTAATATTATTTGCAAAATAAACAAACTGGTTATTGTTTTGTAAATTTCGCCATGACAATATTGTACAGTTAATTTTTCTTTCAAATCAGACCTAAATTAGAAGGTTAAATGAAGGTAAACTTATTGCTCGTCCCATTCGCCTTCAAAACCTTACACAATTTTGAAATTTTTAAAAGCGTTCGTTTTAAGATAATTTGAACTGTAGCCGTCGAGCAATTGTGACGTCATAAATGCACATGTTCGATTGAATAAAATGTGAAATTTTAGTGTGATTTTGATCATTATTTCAAAAGTTATTCCAATTTCAATGAGCCCCGTAAGCGCAAAGTGTTACGTCTTACAGCGTATTTGACGATGTCGGGGTATATTTAACCTTAAAAATATGTAGGATCCCATCAAAACTTTGAAGGAAAAATAATTTCACTGAAATGCAAATAAAAAATACTTCAAAAAGATATATAAAACATATAGTTAGCTTTTTAAATGAGGCAGAGATTAACGCTCAAAGCTGAGATCAGCCCGCATTTCCGGAATTGTCCCCAGGTCCATGCACGTCATAATTATATTATTATGACTCGTCAGATTATGATTATGCCACATGCAAATATCCAAACTGCCCAGCATATTCAAGATGGGAGAGCATTATTTTGCGGTATAAAATGGGTAATCGTTGTTGCTGATTTTCGTTACTGCCAAGTAAAAAATCAATCTCAATTTGATTGACAGGGGAAATCGTGTAAAATTGAGAATTTCGATCAATTACTTCAAAGCTTCGACTACTCTAAGACGTTTCCTGTATATTGTAAAGCAACGCGTCGGATTGCAATGTTTGTCATTATGTTATTTTTTATGCGTTTTCTTTTTACTTCTAGAAATTCAAAAACTTAGACAAGGCAAAATTTCACCACCTGCCATATGTTATAGACGCCGAACACCAACAGCCGAACAGGGGACGATCCGAAAACTTTCCGAAAAAATTTTGGGCCCCTAAAACAAAAAAGTGAGCCCAATAATTCCCAAAAAAGCTCACTTATTGGCGCACTAAAAATTGTTGGGGCCAATTTTCTCTGGGCTCATCTTAGGGGGGAGGGCGCGGGCACCTGTCCCCCTCCTAATCCGCCACGATTTTTCTTAACATAAGTGTCGAGTTAGCTCACCTTATAGCTTTTGAAGATGTATCTACAGCTCTGTCAAACGTTCTGCAATCCGTCTTTGTCAGCTAAAAAGGAAGATTTGGTTGAACGACGAGTACTTGGTACAACCATTTGTAACGTTGTATCGATATTCATTGGTCATTTCTTTCGGTTGGTTTAACATTCACTATGAAAGTATTTTTTGGGTTGTTGAATTTAAAACTACTCACCTTTATGGGTTATCAAGTTTGTTAAAATACATAGACATTGCAAAACACATTGAAATCGTGCCATGGTGAATCAATGGTAAATTCACCAAAATTCTAGAAATATCATCAATGCAACTTATGCTTTCATTATTTACCTCCACATCTATGGAATCAAGCTCAGCACCGACTTCCAATCTGTTCTCTAGCTCCAGTACATTAACGGAGGCTTGGTCAAACAATCCTAGATTGCCTCTGACGGTGCCTATCTCCTGAAGCATGGCTATAAAACAATAAGAAAAGTACAATGAAGTTCCTATGATGATATGATTACAAAAACAACAGGAATCGAAATTGCTTATGACAAATAATTATACCTGTTAAACTATAGGTAATTTGGTTCCTGAAAGATGGTCGAAAGTGGTAGTTAAACATCAATATGTGCGTAGGATCATTGATTTGAATATTTGGGGTTTGTTTTCATTATGACTGGTTACACCTTAGTAATATACACAACTGTGTTTTGAAATACCCCCTTTCCCTTTTAGCACCTGTGCTTCCATATTTTAGACTGGATTAATAAACGTTTACGACACTCAATGTCAACAACAGTGTGATTCCAGATTTACATAAACATAAATATATAGGATGTTGCACAATGGTGATAGGGGAAAACAAATCCTTGGGAAACTCAGTGAGGAAGAGGAACATAGATAAGGACAACCAGCTCCAAGAAAACAATCCCCATCATATCCTCCAATGCCCTTATAACCCACAAAAACTCGAGATATCTATTTAAAAAAAGTAATTTATCTTAAGCAGTGTACTGTTGATTTGAGGGTTGATGTCGAACCCAAGTTGGTTAAAGATGACATTGGCAGGGCCATTGGTGAGCTCAGATATTTCGCTTATAGCCGAATCGGAAGCGTCTAATATGGCCTCCATTGTTCGTTGCTGTTGTTCTGCGATCTGCCTCGTGTTGAACGCATCAAGAGGGGCTGAAAAGAATAAGTGACGTCAGGGACAGTTCATTTTCTTTCTTACAATAAAGAATAGCTGTTACAACAAATATTCTTGTGTTCTTGACTATTGATACCTAGTGGTATATGATTTATATTATTCTGTTCTTATCTTTAAAAACCTGTTCATTCTTTATTACCCTGCAATTTTCTGGGACAATCATTTACCACAAAACTTCTTCTTGATTATTTTCCATTCTGTATTACATACCTTGCTCATCAAATGTGTAAACATCGTCGTCCAGGACCAAAGTAAGGCAGCCCTCATCGTATGACATAGCAATAAAGTGCCATCCTCCAGTGGGTTGCTACAACAAAGATTACATACGTTTTTGTCCACCCAGGAAAGTTTATTACAATCTTATAATTTCACTACTAAGTTGTACAAGCACAGTGTCATCTACAGTGTTTGGTAAATGATGACAGATGTTTTATTTGGAGATATATTATTCCTCTAATTAACATTGACGTTAATTGATGTTGATGCATAGCAAAATATTTTATGTATATCCTCCAGAATGACATAAAGAAAACTCCCAATCCTATCATTAGAGCAACAACCATGCACAGATAACACATCGATTGACCTACAATATATTCCAAAAAGTCATAAGTGCCATCTTTCACCCAAAGTCCTCCAGTTATCCGTATTTCGTCCAGAAGATCTAGACGTATCGTTGGTGTGCCTGTTAGTCCGGCATTTCTGATCAAACTACCTCCGTTGTTTTGTGTCTCGGGGTCCGCCTTGAACCACACTGATATGAAGAGTTTAGTTCCATAGTAGGAGTTAATAAACCTGGAAAAAACATTAAAATTGAGAATCCAATCGTGCCTGAAGAGAAATACAGTGCTCCTAAGTCTCCTGAAGTCTGGCTGAATAATGCATAATATTTAAGCATATAAGGAATTTCTCTATTAAGTATATGTGTCGTGTACTTCAATTTCGTAATACTTTTCATTTTGGCTTTTCTTCTGCATATTACAATATCATCTTACCTTGGTAATTTTATTGACCCTTCTGGATCTAAGAGGGACAAGCTGCCTAAGTTTGTTCCCCCTAACTCAGAATCGGCGCCTCCTTCAGTGATCCCAACTCCTCCATCAGAAGACGCGGGGACTCCCTGGATTATGTCAATGAAGTCGGTAGAAAATGGCCAATGGTAGCACCCACACTTTTGCACTGTCATTCAGAATAAACGTATGCAATGTATCGCCGACATAGCAAAAATTCAAAGTTGACCACACACTTCAGGGAAGAATAACTTTCGGTTTTAGGACAGGGACAAAACTATTAAATTCAACTGCAGAACATGATAAAAATATACATACTTGAAAATATATCGCCTTCACAGCAACAGCTTTCCAAGCTGAACACCTGCCCATCAGGACATCGACTTTTTTTCCGGTCCTGGCCAAACTTGTACGTGACGGAATCTATCATTTCATAGATGTCCCCGTTTATGCAACATTTTCCTTAGGAAAGAAAAATATTCCAAAGTCGATTGAACAGTTTCACGAACCGATCCAAACGATAATTATATCTCGGTGTGGCCCAGACTCTCGAAATTAAGGGGGTTCTAGCTCAGTCACATTTGCTAGGGCGGGCGTACGTTCTTATATTTCTGCAGTCAATAGCATTGTACAGCCACATGATATAACCACAGTCACATATGTTACGGCAGCAGTACGGCGTCTTATGGATACATTGTGGCATCTGTATGGCCTTTGGACTGATGACGCACGATTGCCTTTTGGGGGTCATGGAGTTTTGAAAGATACCAAGGAAGATCCAAGGCAGTCACGTGGGGACCGTATGTCGCTCTCAAGGCGACTGTGCGGTCAGTCTCACTTGGTGGAATGACTATGGCGTGTTTAATTTCTATGATGACCGCTAAATGTAATCTTATAACTTCACACGATAATTCTAAGGCGACCATTCCGGCTTGCGAAAGGGAATATGCCATACGACAACCTTGGGCGACAGTAGATTTTGCCCGGACATCGTACACTCGGCAAAGGGCAAATGTGACTGAGGTATTAAAGAAGGAAATGCCCAAATATCTATCCTACAATACCTTTTTACACTACTTGTTAATGTTAAGACCCATTTTATTGCGTAACAATAACAATAGAGAAAATATTTATATATAATACTGAATGAAAATGATACGTTTCTTGATATATTAGGTCACAGAGCTGACAGTGATAGGAAAGGTATCTTACCATCTTGTGCCAATACAGATTTATCAGGACACGGCTCTGATGTTACCATGTCGACTAAAACATAATATATACACGCGATAACATAACATGTAATGGTTTATATCATTAATTAAGAATAGTGTGGGATCCACAGTCTCTACTTTCGCTTGGAAAGGGAGCTTTCTTTTATATTCCTTGTTGAAGGTTCATATTTATCGTATCAAGGTATATCCATTGGTTAAGTCTTGAAACAATCACATTCGTTTGTAAAGGCCTAGGCGAAGGATACTGTCATTCTCATTGAATCATTTCCCGTTAGTTCTACGACATTTTCTTTATGTCCAATTTACTTACTTACACATTCAGCAGGATCACATAGTTGATATTCATTTGGATGCACGCATGTGCACCATCCCGGATGCCAAACAGTTCCAGGCATGCATGACTGCCGGTGGAAGCTGCCATCATTTGCGCAGTGCCAAAAATGACAACAGTCATCCAATATGACGTCACTAGAAAACCCAGCGTCTCCACACTGATCTAAATATAATGAATTATTGTAGTGAATAGGTACGTATGTTGACTGACAGTTATTAAAAGGCTTAAAATTTAACAAGTGGTCCGAATGTGACTTCCAGTGTAGAAAAAAATTAGGATAAGATGCTTTTTTAAGAAAATTAAGGATCAAATACATTTCATAAAGGATCAACTATATTTCATGCATAATTAAGGACAAACTACATTTCATAGCAAATTAAGGATAAAATATGTTTCAGAATTAGTTGAATTTATATCACCTTTAATCCTTCAAAGACATTAATTGAATAGTACAAAACTAACTAACCTATCAAGATCTCTTTGTCTACAGCAGCTGAAACAAAAAATAAAAACTATAATTAATAGATAAGAAGATGCGTATGCTATGTCCATTTAAAATTAATCAATTTTTTCAGGAAACCAAATTACTGAATGCTAGTCGTTAGAATTCTACTGAAAGTCATGATCAGAAAGGTATATTCTTAGGACTTACTGAGTGAAACGTCCTGTGCTATGGACCTAGAAGTATGCATAAACAGCAGAACGACAGATATCACAAATGATCCCATACCTAAGAAAGTACAAAGGGCGACATTAGACAATTAACCAAATCTACAAGGTGGGCCAAAAAGTCCATACTTTTTATTTTCTATGATTCGTGCATTTCATATATATTTTGAATTCGAACAAGTAGGCCCAATCGCATTACAAATAAAAACTCAAAAAGCAAATCGTGAATCACGTATCAAGTGATCAAACAATGTTTAATTCGATCATAAGCAACATATTTTTTTCTTACCTCTCTCCGATTATGAAGTAATCCGGGTCAATTGATGATATATTTACATACAATGATCCCGATATTGCACCACAAGATGTGAAGATACACCGTTGCTAATCCGTCAATTACCATCAGCTTTCATGTTAATTACTTTCACTTCAACATTTTGAAAAATGATTACTTTGTAATTTGTACTTGAAAGGCATACGACTGGGAATTTTCACAAGTGGATGTATTATGAAGCTCTATATAAGGACAATTAGTTTCGTTCTAAATTGTTCTAAATGAGTCTTACTAGTACTAAGAGTTGCAATAACATTTTCAAGATTTTAAATTATAGTCTAATTATCAATACAAAACGTTTAATTTTTATCAATACAAGTAGTTTAATTAATTTTATTAAGACACGTTGACAATACATGTACAAGTGATATTCAAGTATATCGGCATATTTGATTGAATAAAATGATTTCATCGATTGTAGCCTATAATGGTTGTCATCTTCCACCGGGTGGGTCTGGAATACTACCAATATCTTTGTAGGATTCAATTTCGGCATCAGTCCAAGCAAAGTCACATACCACGAGCTAAAACAAAGAACAACATAGAACATGTCGTATCTCCAGTAAGGACTTGGGCAAACTCAATTATGGATAATAATGGAAACGTTTTATTGAAATAGGCGATACCTGGCGAATAATACCCCCTGGAATATCCTCATATACCAGAGTCTTTCGATTCCTGACACTTTGGTGCTTGTTAGTTTGTTATACCACAAGGTCCAACTGAGTTCCATGGTTTTTATAGAGATTCCCTCCTAAATTATCCCAAATTGTATTGTTTGGTCTACCACAAATAATCGTCGTTAATACTGAGAGCTACGTACCTCATCTACCATACCGACGAATCCAAGACCTATTGATAGTGGCACCTTGGTATTCTGTATATTCCCTAAAAGAGAAATCAAACAAAAAACAACAGTAATTTACTACCACACAGGAGTTAAAAGTTAAAGTATGATTTTATGTCGGTTTCATCTAGATCCAAAATTAACTTCTGTATGTTTTACTTTGTTTTCTTTTTCGTTCTATTGATCTTTGGACAAAATGTTGTCCGCAATGAGGATCAGGTTCAAACATGAAATACAAATCCACCATAGCGGACAAGGAAATATACCATGGTTTTTGTAACAAGGAAATAAAAGGACACTATAAATCTAGGTCTCACTAATACTATAGGGTTATGATAAGAACACCATCAGGTATCCATATTGTAACATTAAAATTAAAAGTAAAAAAGGAAAAAAGGAAAACAGATAGCCCATCGCCGTTTAATTAAATAACTCCTAGCGTTATGAAATGAAGAGTAGGTTATCCGCAAAGGAATCGATATACCAATTGCATGGAGTAGGTCAGTTCTTTGGTATAACGAAATGCTCGAGTAAAAAATTGTTTGGTTCACTTAACATTTTCCGAAAAAAATAGCTTGATCCCTACAGCGACAAATTTTTCAATCTCAGATAATGAAAAGAATACCAATGTCAATCAAGTCTCACATGGATATGAATGATGGTCTATTACAGCTTCGAGGATATCAGACCAATCCGGAAAAGACTGTACTTGGCCGGCTTCTCGTAATTCATCAAAATCCTCAAATACATCAACCAAACCCTTGTAGTTCTCCGCTACGGCCATCATGTCGTCATATGCAATGCTGTAATAATGATTTCTTGTTAGCTTAATTTCATTTTTGATAAATTTTCTTGAATGACAATCCAGATCTTGTTATTTATATAATCATCATACATGAGCCAATATATATCCTTGCATTAGTCCAAAATGTTTTGTTTCAATAATGTTTTATAATCAAAATCAAACTAATATTATATTGATAGGCAAATCAATAGAAGATCCTAAAACTTCACCAATAAAAGGTGAAATTGATTTGTCAAATGCACATGCTTCAAAAGAGACAGAGTAGACGTCTTTACACATTGACCTAAACCTATGTACCCTTTAATACTAAACGGAAAGCAACACCAACAATGCAACGAGTGGTGAATTTGCAAAATATTATATATTATATTATATGCGATTTATGACGTGCACGGACCTGGGGACAATTCGGGAAATACGGGCTTTGAGCGTTAATCTCTGCCTTATTTAAAAAGCTAACTATGTGTTTTATATATCATTTTGAAGTATTTTTATTCGCATTTCACTGAAATTATTTTTCCTTAAAAAGTTTGATGGGATCTACCATATTTTTAAAGTTGAATGTACCCCGACATCGTCAAATACGCTGTAAGACGTAACATTTCACGCTTGAATTTGCAAAATGTTATGCGTTACCCTTTAACAAGCTTCCAAGTAACGTTGGTTCGCTACATCCGAGAAAATATTTCAGTTGCAAAAATGTTTGAAATACCTTGGTAACTCTTGTCTTGTTAATACCTCAGCCCAATGCAGAAGTTTTGCCAGCTGTGTCATATTGGGATGATTTCCGTTGAGCAGTATATTCATAATATCATCTATGACATCTTCCTCAAGGGATGACAAAATGACCCTACAGGAACAAACGTGATATTACAGATATTACATTTTATTGTATAAACTAAGCAATCTGAAGATAAGACGAGAAACATATTTGAATTAGTTTACGTACAATATTATTAATACGTGCCTAATTGAACTATTACTATTTTCTTTTTTAAAAACGAACCTGATTTCATTTCTGGATGTCATTAAAGTGTTTAGAAAGTTCCCACAAAGTGTCTTCAACTCCTACAAATGAATACGAGATTATTCAAAAAGTGTGTGCCCGTAATACTACACAATAATTTAGGTATATAATGTTCTTTAAATTGTAATTAAATGTATATTTTCTATATTTTTTTTACATCGTCCATCTTTAATTATTTGTAAATACCATTGTTATATAACAAAATATAAGTGCTTTCTTTTCAAATGTAGTCTACATGTAGTAAAAAAATGTGATTTCTATTACACCGCAAAGTGTGCACATTGGATGTCTAGCGGCATATTTTGAAAGGTATATTATTATGAAATTAATTGAAAATTGAAATATTATAATTTTAGTATCTCACTTTTTTATCATAAATAAAAAATAAAGGTTGAATATTTTCAAAGCTATGTGAGGTAAAAAGGTGTTTATTGTTCACCCAACCATTTTTAAAAATGGTATCCTCTATTTAAATGTCGTGCATTACCAAATCCAAATGAAATCATCTTTAAAAACAAGACAAACAGTCAGGGGGGCTCGGCCAAAAAATCTTTCAAAATCATGCAGTTTTTCACCATTCTGAGCATTTTTCATGTGATATATCAAAGTGAATTCATTGAAAAGTGAACCCCTCTCCCTTGACAAAAGCTGTCTACTAGAATGGCAGTGAATAATATCCCCCTCGAAGTCCTACACTTTATCAAGAATTTTTAGGGGTTTGGGTTCGTATGTATAAATCACACAATGTTCACGTTACCTGTAGTTCCATTAGGTCAAGTTCAACATCACTTTCCAAACGCCCCTGAACGCCCAAAGCTAAGTCTTGGACACTTGCAAAGTCCATGATAGCGTCACTTAAGGTTTCTAATGCCGAGAACATTGCTGAACAAAGGAATTAAAAACGAGTGTAAACTTATGGAAGTAATAGAAATGGAAGTTTTAAAAATCATGTTAATGTTTGCCTTACAATCTTATGTTTCATAAAAGAAGAATAAGATATAAGATGTAGAGAGTGGATATTCATCAGAAAAGAAGAAGGGACTTAGGCCTGTAGCCAGGGTTTGGTGGTGGGGGGATGTCGGTTGTCCCGTCCTTTCTGAAAGTAATTTTAAAATCAAACGATTATCCTGAAAAGATTAAACCAGAACTGTTTGATTTCTTTTAAAAACTAGGCATGGTAAAATAGTGACTCGTATCTTAGTCCCCTTAAGCTCATTTCAAGAAATTTATTTAGAAGTAAAAATTTGCAACAAAACGATGTCTTACCATTGAAAATTGCTAAATAGGGCGTTGTATCTACGTCTGCCTGTACATCAGTAAGCGTATTGTCTGCACGTTGAATTATGTTCAATACAGTGTCTTTGAAATTTGGAAATTGAACTTCGGCCAGTAATAAAGAAGAGAATGCATCCAGTGGGGCTGAAACAATAATTAAATCTACTTGGAGAATCTAAATTTCATAATAACTAAACAGTTTAAACTTGTATGAACCTTGATTAGATCTTGGAAATTATAGTGTCGTTGTCACTCAAGAATTGTCACTAAAAAAGCTAAATGAGGAATACAGCATATAAGGAATGATCACTCTCATTGAAATTTGGATCAAAAGGACGTGAAAGCGTACAGAATGGATTTCATGTGTGGATATGATGGAAGACATCTGAATAACGCCTACCTTGTTCTTCGTAATGGTATATATCACCGTCCAGACATAACGTTATCAAACCTTTATTGTAGGAGAGCGATACAACATGCCATCCAGATGTGCTATCCTAAAATGACGGTATCCATTTCTGTAAGTACTCAACGTGTCATGGTATAGGATACGATATTATAAACTACTGTATATCTAGTTGCAACAAATTAGTTATATTAATAGCACGTGCTTTGACTTGAGGGAATCATCGCAAAAATCCATTCAAGGGAAAATATTCGGAAATCTATAAACATAATGCAAAACATTCCATAGTATAGTTCATAGTTGATTTATAATCTCACTCAAAAACCTTATAGTATTACAATATTAAACACCTGGTATAATCTTTCATTGTATCAAACACCAAATATAAAAATTTGACCCCATCCACTGTATCAATCACCAAAAAGAAATTACCTCCTCCACCAAATTGTTAGCCCTCTTTCATGCACTTGTTTAGTTTTTATTCACTGCACTTTATCCGATGAAGTACTTTTACTTTGAACTAATTGTTACCGTTCAGTACCCTTTTATTTTATAAGAGATTGTTTGGGATAAGGGGGTTTTGTTTCCCTTTTGGTTCTGCTCTTGGATGGATCAATTCCTTGTTGTGTACGGTATTGCCGACTCCTGTGGCACTTCTAAATTAAAATGTAATAAAATAACCGTTATTTAATTCTAAATTACTCAACCAACCGTTTCTAAATAATTTAGGAAATCATAGCTTCCATCAACTGCCGAGAAACCACCAGTGATGCGTATAGGATCCAGGAGTTCAAGTCGTATTGTAGCGGCTTCGCCAAAACCACCGTTGGATATTAAACTCCCACCATTTCCTCCTTCGTCTTTGAACCACAAAGAAATAGAGAACATATTACCAAAGTAGCCGTTGGTGAATCTAAAAAAGAAACATAAGAAAAAAACGAACGTATGCATAACCTAAACATGATGGTCGATACATATTAAAAAATCCTTACATTGGTAATCATTATGTCAAATCACATCAGTTTACATTGACTGAGGAATAAAAATTACATTTAATACTGACTAATAAATACAATCCTACTTTAAACTTAAGATATTGAGCTTAATTTAATATCCGAGTTATAGTTTCCAGAAAAAGATTAACTTCTCACATTATTCACTTGCAATCGTATTTGACTAATTTCAAATGAACATATATAAACAGTTGGTACATTTACCTCGGTAGACTGATGTGACTCGAGGCATATCCTAAAGTGAGACTGTTATCATTTGCGCCTCGTGCACCATCTCCATTTGTGATATACACCCCTTCATTGGTAACCGCTTGATTGTCACAAAAGAAGTCCATTAAACCTAGTGCAAATGGCCAGTAGTAACATCCTGAGCAGTTCTCTATTAACAAACATATGCAGATGTACTGTATATATTTCATATATCATGGAGAGTTCTACACAATGTGTTACATTCCCCTCCAAAGGTTTGGCTACTTATCTTTCACGTTAGATGAGGTATGGATTATGTTAATTAGCTCATATGGGATGACCTTTTGTTATTGCCCACTTGTCTTGCCGTTTGTCCGTTTGTCCGGCTGTCTGTTCTTTATGTTTGAATTTGTATAAGAAAATGAGAATCCCTTTGAACAGGCTTTAAGACGTAGTCCAATCGGGGAGATAGAATTAAGTAATATGTATTGTTAACTGCGTACTATTTTCCATTCTTCTAGAAGTAACAATTGCAACTTGCTTGACATTAAATCGGTATATTGACCGACGGCAATCTGTTTACACGGGTTGTCGGATAGTTTTGGTATCAACTTGCTTGACATTAAAATAGGTTGTATATTGACCGACGTCTATCTGTACGGACAGTTGGGTAGTTTTGGCCCATTTTGTGGAATATTGTGGAATATTTCGTGAGTTCTGAGATTAGAAAACCTAATTTCCAACGAATACCATGTTCTAATATGAAACATAATTTGTATTTCCAAAATTAAAGTAAAACACATTTTTCTCATCATTCATCTCAGGTACAGGGTGACTCAAAAAATACTCTTTGAATAACGATAAATACAAACCGTCGTGTATATCTCCTATACAACCGCAGTCGTTCAAGCTGAATACCTGGCCTGTGGGACAAGAGTTATTCCCATCATAAGCGTCAAATCTGTATGTGGTAGAATTGAGTGCAGTATATATTTCTCCGTTTATACAGCATTTGCCTGATAAAGATTGAAGAAAATGGTTTAAGCCCGGTGTGAAAGAAATTATGGTCTCCTGGGGATTATGGTCCCCTTTCTAAACGGCCCTTACTGGGCCTGATTGTGTATAGGATGATAAGGGAAAGAGTTGTATTTAGGTCACCATATAAATCAATGGAGAGTAGGACCATAATATGATAGGACCTCCTACCCTTTTACACCGGTATACACGGTAAATGAAAGTGAAAGTGTCTAGTCATAAAGTAGACTTGAATTCAGAAATTCGTTTTTTTAATTCCTCAAAAAAATTTGGGGATAATGAAATGAAAAAATCTCATCAAAAGACGAGGAAGGCTACTGTCTGCTTCATAATATAACCACTTAAACCTAAAAATTAAGAAATCTTAATTCGTATGCTTATTTTTTATGTACCAATGGTTATTATTTTGTGTACTTACCTAAACTACTCAAGAGGGTCTTGTCTGGACATGACTTTCCTAGAACTAGATCCACTGAAATTCAAAATATTTTTACTGTGACTATATTAAAAAATAAACAACTAGCTACAGCCATTTGGCGGGCTAACATAAACAAATGAAGTTTGTATGGACAATATTTCCATTTTCATAATGTTTTTTTAGCTACAGCCATTTGGCGGGCTAACATAAACAAATGAAGTTAGTATGGACAATATTTCCATTTTCATAATGTTTTTTTAGCATATCGATGCAAGCAGAGATGGACTTGCCAATCGACATAGTACCCCATCATCTATTGTTCCGATGATGCCTGATAAGGTCCCACGCGATGTTTCCTTCACAGATGTCTCACTTGGGCACTTTGGGGGATCATTGTTGGACCATTCACAGAACTTATTAAGCCCCACTTAGGTAGTAAGACAATGGAATGAACTTTAGTTGTATCAAAAGGAGTGTACATTCTTTTTTTCATTTTTTAAAGAATGGACACTTGGCAAGCTATCAAAAACCAGAGTGGCACAAATTACAAAGGACAGTTTGGTAGTTTTCATCATTTAAGAACAATATACCAATGTACATTTACTCTTATTTTATTACTTTGCATTCTCATTGTATTACTATGAATTAATTTGTGTTGCCATCTCCAGCGTTGATTTAAGCTTGTATTCGCAAATGCAACTAACGCCTGTAATCACTGTTACACGCAGTGTACTAAAGCTTAACTAATTGTAGCCCACTCATTTACATGTATCAACTCACTCTAGTTGAACGGTCGATACAATAGAAAAATCAAATATTCCGGATTAGATCATGGACCATTTACCTTTCATAAGAGTCAGTGTTGGGTTAGATAAACAGTTTGCCTCGGGTCTTAGGAGAAAATGATAGCCTCGGGCCTATCGACCATAATTTGGCTATTATTTCACCTAAGACCCATGGCTCATGTTTTATCCTTTACATAGCATTTTAAGCCTAATTGCTTAACGCGACACGCATGGCTATTTGAAAGATTTTATACTTACAGAGTATAAGAAAAATAGAAGTAGCCATTTTTCAGATTTAGGCAATTTACAAGAGAATGTCTATATTTGACCATGCAGTTTTCAAGAAACGCCAAACAATACTCAATCAAACTTACAAGTACATTCTGTCTGATTGCACGACTTGTAATCTCGCGAGTGCACGCATGCGTACAGCTCAGGGTGCCAGACTGTACCTCCAAGACAAGCTTGTTTATAGACTTGACCAGCTTCGTCACAATGCCAGAAGTGACAACAATCGCCGTATATATCACTCGCAAAACCACCTTTGCCACATAATGCTGAAAATAGCAAGTGTATAACCACTTTCGCCACATAATGCTGAAAATACATTTTGATACATGATGCTGAAAATATCAAGTGTAAAATCAATTTAATGCTGACATGCAGCCATTTCGAAACGTCGACAATGATACAGTATGATGACTAGAACACCTTTCGTTCGTTTATAAAGACTCTAAAGACTGTCCTGAACAGCTACAAGATGACGATAGGAAGGAAGCCGATCTAGGTTGATAGCAATGTTTAACTTTTGTTTGATTGAATCATTGAGGTTTTGGAATGATGATTTGTTGTGTTTGAATATAACGAAGTATATTGAAGTATATACGAGGCCATCTTTTGAACGAAACGGAATATTCCTTACCTCTCAATCGACGTACTTGAGTTGCGGCTGAAAAGAGAAAAATGATTTAAATCAATTGTCTTATCCATATTTGCAATCATTTCTGCCTGCAAAAGTCTTTAAGCGTGCAATCACAAAAATATATTGAACAAAAGAAGGTAGAATTATTTTACTTTAAGCTTAGTTATTTTACTAATTTTTGACGATGAAATATAATTTACTTAATAATTGGTATCGGTTACTCTGTTCAACGAAGAGGTACATATTTTATCAGTGTACATATATATATGTCATGTAAGTAGTGTTACAAACGTGGCTTCTTACTAAGTTCATCTCCCTGTACAGGCAGTGTAAGCAATGATGCCACAATGACAATCAAAACTACATCAGGCCACGACATACTTCCGCAGATCTTAAACAGAAATAAAGGTGTCACAAGAGATAGAGAACTTTCAGTGTTTTGGGCGAAAAAATTAAGTGAAGCATTGGTACATATTATGTTAAGAGACATTGGTAAATTCGAAAGGTTGATCGTTGAAACCTATGGGCGAACGTCAACTCTACGCTGAGAAAATTTCTTGATTGCCCTAAAAAATATATGGGCAAAAATGGTCAATTTTAAGAAAACGACATATATATTTAATTATTTTTAGTGGATTGAGGGACACTTTATTACATATTAGACAATTTGATTTACAAGCTACAAATCCCTCTCCAGCTTCGTTCGACCTACTATTCACCTCAATTTAGGTTGTTTAAAGTGATCTAAGCAAATTAAAGATATTAGACCGTATTACGATGCTTTAAAAATACTTACATGTTATATCCTGTGGTCAACCACCGGACGTGCTCATAAACAGAATTCATCTCTCCTTGTCGATGTTTCCGGCGATAGAATTGTGGGATTGGTTGACAGAGTGTCAAGTTTGTAATAAGAAGCATCATGTCCCGACTCAATTACATATAACCTTAGGGAAATTCTACTGCTTGTTGTTAAATAGGTATGTTTAAAAGAAGCAATATGTGTTTTTGAAGCAGAAATATGATTTCAACAGTTTATTGTTTTGAAAAGCAAGTATTAATTTTGAGAAACGAGAGTTTACTTACTAGATAGAGGAGAGTCTAGTAAATCAACAATACTATGGTGTTTAAACTGCTTCTTTATTCGGTACATTAATATTCCATGAATACCAAATAAAACAAACAATTTACCAAACCTTTACCCAATCTATCGAATGTTTTTTATTTTATCAAATGTAATAATCTATACAATTTATATTCGTTAAATAGTTTCACTTGTTCTTTGTATTGACATTCACATTTGATATTTATACATGTATTTGTGTGATGCAGCGAATCAATTTGTTTTCCTGAACGCACGTATAATTCAATTAATTATTTGTACATTAGGTATTTAAATTATTTATATTCGGTAAATACAGAATGCCACATTCCATAAATTTCGTTATTTTTCGATAATTTACGAGACTTTCAGTCACGTGATATATTTGTACGATGTAGAATAGCTGCGCGGCCATTTTGCAAATCCCGAAGTCACGTGACAAAATATCGAACAACAACGCAAGTTATCGAATATCACTTTATTGCATTCGGTAAATAGCAAATTAGCTTTCGGTAAAACGCATTAACTATGTCATAGAAAAATAAACCATTTGGTAAATATAGGCAAACTTATTTCGGTAAGGTTCAAATAGAAATTCAATATTGTGCATATAATGTGTTACTCTTATATAAGGAATACCATAACAATTTACGCAAAAATATCATTTAACGAATGAAATATGCAATTTAATGCACATAGTATTAAGTGATTGGCTATTTTGAAAACTTAATTTGCTGTAACAAACATATAAACGTTTTTACCGAATGGAAAAATGATTTAGGGAATATAAATAATTCATATATCGAATATATTTGAATTTAATGAATAAAGAAGCAAAAATAATGCCATACAATACCTTAAAGATTTACATATTGCCGAGTAGCTTCCAAATTATCGAGGGATGCTGCACTTACAAAGTTTTAATAACGTACATTTTGATTTATTCACAGATACAGCTCCCTAAGGTGCTATATTTTCTGTGATTTTTGTATTTTCCAATTCAATGGCTCATGTAAAATGCTTTTGTTCATGGAATATATAAAAATATGCACGAGACGCAAATGAGGAGGGAAAGTATCGCTACCGATTTGGACAGTCACATTTTGGATTTTGGCTATTTTCTGAGGATTTAAACAGATACATATGTTAGGCTAATGTATTATCTCCAGGAAAAGCACTTATAGAGATGATAAAATAATTTCGATTTTGAAACAGGGGAGATGCAAACAACCCACCCACATGTTTTTTCTAAAATGTTGTCCTGATTTTCAATCCCTTCCACCCTTGCTTTTTCAATCCTGCATCAATATGTTGCGTTTTAAGACACAGTTAACCCCTTTAAAGGAATAAGTGATTCCTCTTCGATAAAGTGGAAAAAAATATTTCCCATGTTATTTTCCCATAGGGAAAACTCAGGAGATCCATTGCTTTCAGCTAATTTTGGTCACCCAAAATGGATATCTTTATAACCCCTGGAGGAATTACTTATTCCTTTAAAGGGTTCAATTGTGTGTCAAAACGCAACATATTGATGCAACAAAAATTGAAAAAGCAGGGGTGGAGAAGGTTGAAAATCAGGACAACATTTCAGAAAAAACATGTGGATGGGTTGTTTGCATCTTCCCTGTCTCAAAGTCGAAATTATTTTATCATCTCTATGAGTGCGCATGCTTTTCCCGGAGATTATGAATTGGCCTAACATATGCAACTGTTTTAATCCTGAGAAAATAGCCAACATCCAACATATGACTGTCCGAAATCTGTTGCGATACTTACCCTCCTTCTTTGTAGATTACTAAGATGTTTTGGTCATGTGGGGCAATATTTGTTTTGGTTACAAATCTGATCTTATTAGCAATGTGTGATTGAAGGAATTAAGCAAAGTATTATTTTACTTTTTACCAAACGGTTATTGTTGTTATAATACCATGTGTGCTGTATGTTATTACAAACTACAATAACTCAGATGCGAGTAGGTGGTTACCAGTTTCACCACCAGATGGCTCATTCGGGTCAGAAAGCATGGCGGGAATAGTAGAAAGTTTCGTTTAACTTAATATTCATCAGTTTTAGGGGTTCAATTTTCATGTCACCCTTATGTATCTAATAGTTGTGCAAATTAAAATATGTCCAGTGAAAGAAAATATCATCTATCCATTACACGAAAATATATTTTACTTTTTTTGTGATTTTGTAGGGGAATCTCCCCGAACTAGAATCACATTTTCAAAAAAATTAGATTTTCAAAGTTGATACACAATTTTCAAAACCATGTTTCTAAATGTACTCTTACATTTAGATTTCAAATGTGACATCACTTTGACTGAATTAAATCAAGATTATTTCTACTCGCATAGAGTCCATTACATTTGTATATTGAAACAGCATTATACTTGATATGTCACTGCATAATATTGACATTGTTCAACGTTCTTTCATTTTACAAAGTGTCATTGGTCTATTCTCAATGGTCAAGATTTTATGGCCACTTTACAAAACGTGAAAATAAGAAAAATCATTTTTAACGACTTGTATGTATAGTTTTCATATGTATTTGTTTTTCTACATTTCATAGTTTGTGTTTTTTTGTGATTGGATGTGAGACTAGTTGCTGCTAGGTAAACAGTGTGATTCACTATCGTTTAATATAATGACTCGTATGGTTTTGTGACTCGTATGTTTTTATGACTCGTATGGTTTTATGACTAGTTTTATGACTTATGAAACAAACGAGGCGGTTAAAGGTCATATGCGTTACTTATGAGTTATTATTTTGACATTTACGTCACCTTTACTCACACCTATTTTCGCCTGTCTCCCTAAGATTCTCATTTTCCAAATTAGGCCAAATCCTTAATAGAGTTATCCTCATTCAAATGAACATGACCACGATTTTTTAAATGGTTCTAACATTTCAAATTTCGTTCAACTTCGATTTACATGGAATTTCAATGTCCGCCTCTGTTTTTGACAATGTTTTCAAATACAGATAAAGCATTTTCATTTTAGAGGCGATGGCAGTTTCAGATCCAGTCTTAACTAGTCTCCACCCGTTTTAGACGCCATTACTAGGAGTGCAGGCAATTTGATAAACTCCAAATAAAAAATCACAGTGACATCGCCAATTCCACAAGTTTTCGGCGTAGGTCGTATTGCTTCCCTTGGGAATAAAACGATTGTCCATAATACAGCCTGTAAATATGAAGTACATATCATTGTCGATAATTACTACAAGAGAGAATCAAGTAGAAAGTCTCCCCTCAAATACTAGTAATTCGATTGTTTTTCTCATGTATGCTATTTGTTAATCAATATTAAATATGGAAACAAAATGACCTAAAATACTTTTACCATCCTCATGTAAAACTCCGTTTTCCGAACATGTTGATCTTCCGTATAAGGTCAACCACTGGTCCTCTAACTCATACACAGTTCCGTCATAATCCATACACTGCTCTGCTGGAAAAGTAAAATAGAACACCTATTAGTGGAGATATATACAATTTCGAAAGTAAACATTAAACTACACATGTATTGGCCTAAATAAAAATAGTACCATGGGAACTGCGCTCACACGGGACTTAAAATGTTTTTAATATTTTACAGTAGGAGCTTAGAATAGTTAATTGTTTTTTGCATATTATGAAAGGTTGATAATAATTTTGTAGAAGTACTTGGGTAGCTGAAATTAAAAACATGAGTATTAGCTTGGATCAATAATACAATTTTCCAAAATGTGTTGGAGCAGAAGAATTTCACAAGCACACTACAAGTTAGCTTTATGCATGATTTTTCTGCAATAAAATTGGTGGCCATTTTGAAAGGATTGGTATCGATATGGTGAACTGAATTCAACAATGTTTTTCTCTCAAAACAATTATTGAAAACATTCTGTAAAAACACGGTCCTTTATGTAATTTTGACTGATTGACAACAATTTAATGCGAATATTATTTATATGTATTTTATATAACTGTTTTTGTTAACATTTTTTGTTTTTTTAGTGCAATTGTTTTTTGAGAATTCTTGAGAATGAAATAGAATATCTTTCCGAAGCTTGTTGGAACAAAATAGCATATACAAAATTTTCTTAGACCTCTCAATATCATAGTTATACAAAGGAAATTTTGGTTGATTTCACAAAAAGTATTCAAAAAATTAAAACAAAAACTCCCAAAATAGATAAAAATTAAGATAAACCTTTTATTCATTAACAAGATATTTTTTGAAATCAACAAAACTTGCCTTTGTACAATTACAATATTGAGAGACCTAAACGCGTTGTGTTTATGTCATTTTGTTCCAATGAGGTTCGGATAAATGTTTCATTTCATTCCGAAGATAAGATACCAAGAATAAAATAAGTGTCTGATGTGTTATCTAAACCAATATAGAGAAAAGTATATATATCTATTTCAAATTATAGTGTTACCATTCAAGAGATGACCATTCAGGTGACAATGTGTAAAATTTTCAGAATGTTTTGATGACTGGTTTAAGAGAAACGTGTGTTCAAAAAGTTCACCATATCGATACCCATCCTTTGCAACATGTTTTGCCTCAACACTATTGATAACCTTTATAATAAGGTAAACGTACAATTTCAAACTAATTGATGATATAATTGTGGAGTTGACAAAAAAGCTGAAAATCTGATTTTTCTACAATAAAATTCTTTGTGACATATTTAGCTGAAACGTGAGGACATAATTGATAATGTGGAAATTAAGGTACCTATACAATTTTAAGCAAATTGATTGAATACAAGTAAAGTTGTGATGAACAAAGAGCTGAAAGCCTGATTTTTCTGCAATAAAAGTGGCGGCCATTTTGAATATTTGTGACATATTTTGCCGAAACGTGTCGACATTGTTGATTATCTAGAAATAAAGGTACCTGTACAATTTTAAGCAAATTGCCGGGAAACTGGTGGAGCTATAAAAAGAGCTGAAAATCTGATTTTTGCGCAATAAAATGGCCGCCATTTTAAAACAAGGCGAGCTTTTGAGACACCACTTATGGGACAATTGACGACCTTATGTAGACACACTTTAAAGTGAAACCATTCCAATTGTCGTGGAGAATTCAAATTTGTTGCCAATGTGTTGGCAGACAGACGGACAGACAGACACACGAACGGGCAGACAAGTGGGCGATAACAATAGCTCACCATGTGACCTAATAAAAATGAAAGGTTCCTATTTGTATAAGATTTGTGGTTTGTTATGATTTGTTCATGCACGTGTATTATTTTACATATTTTATTTAACACCTATTTTATATTTATTCCTCAAATAATGAAATCATCGGACCTTAAAAGATGACAAACCAAAACTATATATATATATATATGCTAGTCAATGGAAGATAGCAGAAAAGTATTTACCTAAACAAATGCCGCACATTGCTGGGCACAACATCCTTATCGAGTCATACATACAAAATGTATCTGGCCAATAATTAGAGCTTGGTTGGCCACACGCAGCAGGTTGTATGGCACTACATGTTTGTTGAGGTTTTAGGGCATCAATGAGCGATGGCTGAGATGGTTTTGCAGCGCCAGTTGGCTTCTCAGCAACCTGTGCTTTATCACCAAGTCTGGCATATAGTTTCTTCTGAACCATGCTCGTTGGAGGTATTGTCGTCTTGAAAGTGCCGAGATATTCTGAATTTGTGTCGTTAATAACACCATTGTGTGTCACATTTGAGTATTTATCAGAAGTGTCCATTCCATCATATCCATCATGGTAATTGTTCAAGGTACTATTATCAATACTATCATTACTTGTTTTAGTCATATTTGTGATTGGTTCATGACTACTGGTTGCTATAAATGTCTGCTTTGTTGTAGGTTCAGTCGTTATGGTTGTTGGCTCTGTTACCATGGTAGTTGGTTCAGTTGTCATGGTAGTCGGTGTCATCGTTGTGGTAGTTGGGTTGGTGGTGGTGGTCGGCTCAGGTGTCATTGTTGTTGTTGTTGGTCTGGTTGTTGATGATGTTAATGATGTAGATTCAGGAATGGTAGATGTTAGAACGGTTGTGGTAGTTTGCCCCCAGTAGTGAATACCATCGTCTGTAACATTCGGATATATACGTTTAACAATGAATGAAAATATCCTTTAGTTAGTCTAACAATTATGATATCTAGTAGATTCGTGCAAGCTTCATTTTTTAGCTTACACTCCTCTTTGCCCCTGTGAACTTTGAGTAGGCTATACAGGGCGTCCACAAATAAGTATACCCAACTTCAAAGCCAGGATACTAGAATTCTAAGCAATTGTTTAAAAATACGAAGGTAGCAGTAAAAGACCTAGTTTGTCTTCCATCCAATGGTACCTAGATCATTATTTAACTGTCATGGATGACTGAGCAATCATGACTTTTGTGAAAGGTGGTAAAATCAGCACTGTGCCAAGTTAGCATTTAAGTATGATTGACACAGTGATTTTTCCTTTTAACTTTTTGTTGCTACCTCCCTCTCGAAAACTTGGATCCCAAGAGCCTCTAGAACAGCAATGACATTCTACATGATGATATGCAGGTTTGAAGTCAATTGTGTCCCCATGTAAAGTCAGTACACCCTTGCTGAAATCCTCATTTTCTCGGAAGAACTCAAGTTGATTGAGCCTCAACAACTACATTCATGTGGGACCGTATTGCTAGAATCCATTTTCAATGGTAAGAATAGTGGTTCTTAAACAACATTTGGACTTGCTTTTTAGTTCTTTTTGTTGGCTCTACTGTTTAGGTGCCAGTGCTAATTTTACCACCTCCAATAATTGTCATGATTGCCCAGTCATCCATGACAGTTACATGATGATCTAGGTACCATTCGATGGAGTACGAATTAGACTTTTTGCTATTACCTTTGCATTTCAAAAAATTTCTCGAGATTTTAGTAATTTGACTTTAAAGTTCGGTATGCTTTTTTGTGGACGCCTTGTATAACCTCATTTGGAAAATAGGGATAACATGATTTTTTTCTTCATGTCAAATTCATTATCTGTATGATATGATAATTTGTTGTTATAGTTACTTACATGTACATAAACCGCATGTGATTGGACAGTACTGATATTTCACATTACCATATATGTCACAGTAGTCGACTGGCCAACCACCTCCTTTGCTGGCACATATATAGTTATCAACAACTAGATCACAAACCACTGGAATCAGATATATTGCAAATGAAGGTTTATCAACAACTAGATCACACACCACTGGAATCAGACATATTGCAAATGAAGAAACAAAGATGTGGAAAATGGCCTGTCATACATTCATTTTAGTAACCTGCGCAAAAAATGTTCTAAATATTTATCTACCGTTACAAACGTCGTCCATCCAAGTGATTCCAGCTGGACATTTACATTCACACGTGTCTAGGTGAAGCTTCCCACCATTATGACATATCTTCCCCTCGCAATCTGCAAGCGAAGAGAAACAACTTGCATAAATAATGCCCCAGAGGTTGTGCCCCTTCTAACTAGTGTTTATATTGAATTAAATTACAATTTATGTATTGAAAACAATAGCCTAAATTATCTTTGATATGAATGCTCCGGGAATACTCCCCAAGCATAGCAATAGCTAATCAGGTCAGAAATGAACCCCAATGGACAAAATAGAGGGACTCTGGAATAGATGTCACTAGCTACAATCCAGACGAGGCTTTCAGCATTGACGCATGATGTTTACGATGCCCAGACGGTCCGATACTTCGAAGCCTGTCAAATCATAAACCCAAAAAGAATGATGTACACACGACACGAGTAGTAATATCAAAGATTGTTCTAGATTTTCAACCACACTCTCTTTCACATTAAAATGACGCAACCCAACTTACCACATAATCCAGATGAAACTTCCAAGCTTGATCCGCAACTTGAGCCTTGTGTTTCTGAAGATACGTACGGCGTGTATAACCTATTCATAAAGTTACCACTGAAAGAAGAAACACGAATTGTTCTGATAATATTTTCTACAATTATTTAAAGATTTAAGACCTAGACTCGGTGAATTGCGGACTGAATCATTCCTCCAGATGGTTGTTTCAAACTTTGCACGAGATGCGTGGAAAAACTCAATACATTGTGGCTGATTCATTCCACACAGGCGTTGTGTTAAAATTAAGACTCGATGCTGTGCATCTCGTGCAAATTTTGGAAAGCAACACTAGTATCAACAAAAAGTTCAGAAAAGCAAGCCCAATGTCCTGTTCTATTCTTACTTTTGAAAATGGATTCTAGCAATACTATCCCACATGAATCTACTTGTTGAGACTCGATCACCATTGACTTGGGATACCATCGGATATGTCACCATGTATAGTCAACACACCCTTGCTGAAATCCTTATTTTCTCAGATGAACTCAAGTTGATCGAATTTCAACAAGTAGATTCCTGTTGGATAGTATTGCTAGAAAGTTAGAATATGGGTTCTTAAACATGACATTAACAAAGGCCTTTTTGAAATTGTTGTTTAGTATTACACCTTCAATTAAAGGAATGGTAATTCCACATTGCACAAGTAGCTCATGCTTAAATCCTAAATCTACCATACATCTTATAATTCATAGTTTATGCGTTGCCACTTTGAGTTCTTTTTCCAAATGAGTGGAAACATAAAAAACTATTTTTAATATGTATATGTATGTGTGAGACTTAAATAAACTATTTTACTACTACATATTTATAGTATCATCAGCAATGAAATATACGTATGGCTTAATATGAATTGCAGTTAATGAAAATCACTTGCTGTTATAGTAATTTTGGTAGTGTTTAGTGTACTTACAAAGGGCCATCTTTATAGATCCCATTGCCGTTTGTTTTGAATACTTACGCAGGACCATAGTTACAGACATAGTAATGCCTGGTCTGGTTACAGAATGCATATCCACAACCAAGATGTGAAGTGGTGTCCCAAACCATCTAAAATACATTCCTCTTATTAAGCTTTTCTTAAACCTCTCAATATAATAGTTATACAAAGGAAATTTTGGTTTATTTAGTAAATAATAATAACTTTAATAACTTTGTAAATCGCAAAACATAAACGGGCATGCTTGCATTAAGGAGCTGAAGTTTCCAAACGTTTGAAGGGGGTGTACATTAATGTTGGCTATGAGCACACACCTGTGTGTAATGTCCGATTACGGCTGACTTTTTAGGTTTCTTTCCGTATTTAAGATGGTTGACTTCTCTTTGCCAGGCCTGTATAGAGTGAGCCCATGAATAGTGACTGCTATAAGCTAGGTTCTGCCCCACACTGAATAATCCTTCAAGTTAAATGCAACATTACAATACATGTACAGTAGGTTTAAAGACATACGGATGTGTAAGCAACAAAGCAAAGTGCCAAAGTGAAACTACCAGAAAATATAACAGGACACAGTATATTAAACATCAGTGCGTAACCAGTAAAAGGATCCCAAATATCCAAAACTATGATCTTACTCATTTAAAACAATGTCTAACACTCCCTTCTCAGTCTTGAAATTTAATCACTTTTCTTGAGTGTTTTGAGAGAAATTGTAAATTGTATTGTAGCACTATTAAATTAGTAATGACTAGCTAGAAATTCAGGGGAAACATACCAATTGTGCATGGTTTTACAATTTTAGAACTTTGAGATGTTCACTTTTGCACGTTAAAAGGCTAGGGTATAATATTGTTGGACGCTTTCATAGGAGTGTGTCAACCGACTTGCATGTTACCTGAGCAATCTGAGACTAAGAAATATTCTAAATATAAATGAACTATATTAATTCTGATCCATAAGAAAACAATCCGACCATAATGGTTGATTAAGTTACCTGGTATCTTCCTGTTAATAGCACGATCGTGTTCGTAGAGACAGGTATGGGCCCACTGTTGAGCGAGGAAGGCAAGGTCGTCATCCCACACCTATGATTTAACGAAATATGAATATCATCAACACGGAAAATATGAAATATGATTGATCTCTATCAATCATTGCTTAAAGATGCCTGGAATCTCTTGAAAATCATGATGTTGTATAAAAAGCTATACATGTATAGACTGAGACCAAAGCACGTTTGAGCTTTATCATTTGAATCAATTCTCAATCTGCGGCCATATAGAAGCATATTTTTTGTTCTTTGATACCAAGGACTATATTTTGGTAGCGACATCTTGTTTTACCATTTTCATCATAGCAGCAGCTTTTGGTTGCTTATTATACTTGTATACGTTTCCACGGTAATAGTTATGCTTGGCCAATATCTCATCGGCTTCCTCAGGAGTAACACCTGCAAGGTAAAATGACACAAATGCATCAAAGTATAAACCAAGGAGGATTGGCTCCAACAATGCAATCTCGATATTTTCCAACAATGAAAATGTCGTTAAATTGTCTGACATTAAACTGGCTATAATTTCATAATAAGAAAACCAAAAGGTTTAAGGTAATATCTTGATCACTTCTTGTGTGTTATGAGATCCATTTCATGTAAAAAAAACTCGCGATTCAAACATACTGATTCAAAATCAAAGTGAAAATGTCGACTATAAATTTTGAATTTCTTAATAACATGGGCTTTCAACATCCTCAAGCTCGGGTTTATTCAATATGTTTAATACCCGAGGCTTAGTATGTGTACCAAAAAGAAACAAAATAATACCGAGATTGCATTCCGGGAGCCAATCCCCCTCGAGGAATTCATTGTCATTCTCACTAACTGGTCTAACTGAAATATCCATAACAGAAGCTGTTATTGACCAAAAGTATAAGAGTAACAAATAACATAACACCATTTATTCCATAGTTAGCATGATATTCATAGGATAACATGTTAAAATAAAAACGGTATTTTTGTAATCAGTGGTAAAATATGATATTTTTGACAATTTTTCACTTAACCATAACATACGGTTTTTTAGCTATGACATACGACGTCGTATGCGATGGTTTATGGATTTTTGCTACTTCAGACTCAAAACGAGGCTAAGTGTCAACATCGCCGGATCGTTTGGAAATTCGAATTAAATAACTTAATTTCCGACGGTTCTGAAGATGACTTTAACTATGGAATAAAAAGAACATCCTATGATTTACTCGTGATATGATTTTAATCCACTCATGGATATTGATATCTGCACTCTCTCGCTACGCTCGCTCGTGCAGATATCATATCCATTCGTGGATAAAAATCATATCACTCATAAATCATAGGATATCCTCTATTTATTCCATAGTTGGCATGATATTCATAGGATAACATGTCAAAATAAAAACGGTATTTTTGTTATCAGTGGTAAAATATGATATTTTGACAATTTTTCACTTAACCATAGCATATGGTTTTTTAGCCATGACATACGGCGCCGTATGCTATGAATTATGGATTTTTGCTACTTCAGACCTGAGACTAACATAAAATGGTCTCAGTTCAGACTCAAAACGAGGCTAAGTGTAAACTTGGAAAATTCGATTTAAATCACTTAATTCCCGATGATTCTGATGATTCAAATGATGAACTGTCATAATCTTTGATTAGTGGACATTTATAAACCGGAGATAAAGATCCAGATGATCTGATAAATGCACAGAGGAACAAGAACACTGTCAAAAAGACACGTTTGAATCCACTCATGGATATTGATATCTGCACTCTCTCGCTACGCTCGCTCGTACAGATATCATATCCATCCGTGGATAAAAATCATATCACTCATAAATCATAGGATATCCCCTATGTATTGCCCATGACATACCACCCCCCGATGCTACTGACTTTTTGATCATTAATTAATTAACTACATCATTAATCGATGGCATAATTAAACTCCGTCTGTTACAGTCGGAAATATTTCTTAAAGTACCAGAGTCATTGCGTTTTATTATTGGAGACAATGGGATTTAGGTTCAATAATAATTAAAGTAAGTAAATCTAGAGTTTCGATAAATTAAGTAATACGTAATTAAGGTATTATTATTATAATGTGTTATAAACTTGGTGTTAAACTTATTCTTTGACCTTGTCCACTTTCCAGAAATATTTTGGCGCGAAACTCAAATCCATTCATCGAGATACACAAAAACGTATACTATACGTCCGATAAACAGTTCTCGTAAAATATCACGTAAATTAGAAATATCACTCTATCAATTGTAGGATATGAAGATTTGATATATTAATATATTATTTATTTGTGTATGTGAACGTAAATATGTAAAATAAAAAGATACAAATGATTTAAATCACGAACCATATTTTTTCTGCCTGTTGGAAATACACCCCGTGTGTTCCTTACTCAATCCCACATACTTTCGGTTACAGTTCTGAATATCATACGACAATTCTGCAAAATTGTAAAATAACATTGATGTAGTATTTTGAGGACATTATTTGATTGTCGACTCGCCTCGCTCGTTCGTGTTTTTGAGAGAATAAAATGGGACAAGGGAAGATGAAAAGTACTATTGTATGATCAAATGGCATAACTGGTGATTGGTACTTTTCATATTCCCTGCTAATGCGATTTATGACTCAAGGCTCATCTACTTCATGATCAATGAGCATCCAGAATACATATCGGGTGTATAAAAAACTTAAAGTATATCTATTCTTGTTTATGTGAAAACCATAATTTGGCTGAAAATAAAACAAAGTATGACGTTGAATTTATTACATAGTACTACTGTACTATAGTATTAATTTTATTGATGTTCTTGGAGATCTCAATTTCACTTACCTATTGCGTTTGAAACATAAGCCTTGGCAAGACAAAGGAAGACACATAAAACCCAATATAAATGTGGGTACTCCATTGTGTACTTAAGCAGTACTGACGTCAAACTGGGAATCTCGAGGTCAGAATCGTATGAGACGGGTGAGGTCACTTTGTTAATCCAAATAACTTTATAAACAGAGCACATACATAATGCAGATGTAGTTTTTGCAATAGATGTCTCGCCAGAGGTGTCCTAAATATTTGTACAAGATGTGTCAACTCATGTAAATTATACAATATCCTTATGTGAACTATATATGAATGATAAAGATGTTGGATTTGTCATTACGACCTTCTTAACATTCCAATCGAATCTTACATAAAATGGCAATAAAATAGATTTCAATCGATGATTTCATATCAAGTTCAGTTGTTACATGTTCTATAAGAAAATGATATCAAACCTTAGAAAATACTAACGACCTCTTGACAATTAAGATAAAAAAAATATGAAATTGTTTTATCATCGCAATTTGATGTACAGGAATAATGTTTCATAATATACTGACAGAGCAAAATATTGTTTTATCACATAAAGAGAAGAATAATGATTGACCATAAAGTGAAAGAGTAAAATAGCGTTTTGTCGTATAGTAAAAGAGCAAAATAACGTTTCATCATAGTATATCAACCAATATATATACAACCTTCAAAACAATTTATTTTACGCCAGGCAACAGTGACGTATTCGAATCTACAGACACAAATATGGACGTTGGAAACGATAATTGTACCATTCCTTAGATATGTCTACTGCTTTTGATACTTTACCTCGTCATACATTACTGCAAGAGCCACATGCACATGGTTTTGGATAACTTTTGGATTAACGCATTAAATCATACTGTTTGAATAAGAAACTAAGAGTGAGTATAAAAATCCCCGTGGTGTACCTGCAACTAATTAAATGCTGACTACCCCAAGGGTCCATTTTGGACCCTTGTTATACTTAATTATAACTTACATTTATAATTAACAGATATGTTTTTGACATGCTGAGTACTTGATTAGGAGATGACAATAACTTTTAACTCAGTTTCGTTCCGTGTTTCACTGATCATCATTTTATCAACTTTATTTTGGAATTATTGTCGTCAGTTATTTACAAAACATCACTTCCATACATTTTCATCGTTAAAATATTGTCGGCGTGAGGATTAATGCTCTTTGTTCTACCTTCAATGAAAGTTTTACTGAAATGGATTTCTTGTTGAGACACGAACAAAAATATAACATGATTGGATCCGAAGTTTTCTGGCCATCAAAAGAAGCCATGGTTGTTTTGAATTGATATAACGCCATGTATAACCTCGTCATCACACAGTTACAAGGTTCTTTGCCGTGGCCAAGCTCTAAATAATTCCAAGTTGTTTTCATTTAAGGAAATCGAAGCTGTGAAAACTTACAAATGGGAACATTTTTCTGTTAGGATGTGGCGACGTCGGGGAATTAGAAAGGTACAAGACGTGATTTGGTGACAAGAATGAGAGGATTTCAGGAATTAGTTCGGTACTGTATTGTTTGAACTGAGTCGCTATACAATGTTACACAAACAGCGCATAAACATTGGTTGGGGAATCTTTGGATAGCTTACAATAAAGTACTGTTTGGGTGAAGAGTACCGATGTTTGGTGTTGCGATAACTTGATTGCATCTCCTCTGTTGAGGTACAAGTATAGTTTTCTGAGAAGTCGTCTGTGGGTTCAGTTATAAACGTTTTTCTAAATTTTCTGCTATCGACCGGAGTGGAAACTTGCTTCAATCTCAACTTATCATCACAGTTGCAAGCACATAGGACAAGTGATTCATCAAATCTTCTGTTAAATTGTGTGCTACAGCATCCGGGTTCTTCCCAATATTATTGACACCGACGCAGAAACAATTAAAGTGCTCTCTGCAGTTTTGAAGCAATATTCTGATGCCTGGTGCAAAGACAGCGTTTTTGAAGGTTATACTTCAAATATGATATGATGTATTTTGGTCGTTAGCACTTACTTCTATTGAATCTGATTTCATTATGTTCCCTTACTTGTCTTATCTTTTAAGCATATGCATTTGTTTCACCTTTCCCTTGCTTTCTCAATCAATTGATACGGAGACTTTTCCTGAATGATTTGATTTTGACTGAAATATTAAAATGTAGCTTTGTTCCATGATATTTTATATTAGTTCCATAATATTTTGCGTGAACCAATGGCTTCTTCTAGAGCCCCGCTTTGTCTCCTCATATCTCTGTGTAGGTCTATACTATGCTACAAGATTGTTTCGTGATCATATGCCATCGCAACTGATATTTGTTTCCTTGGTGCGTATTGTGCCTTTTTACTTTCTTTTATCTTTTTAGCAACCCATTTTTATTTTCCAAGAGTTCCTCCGTCGCATTTGCTCTACGGCAGCCGTATGGTGACCATAGATTGAATAAAGCGAAATAGAAAATCTACATCGTCCTGCTTATCCCTATATTTTATGCTGCATACTTCTCTCGAATTTGGGAACTTACGGCTGCCGTACGGTTGCCGTAGATCAAATGTGACTGAGGCATTAGATCACCGCAACACTGCTACACTGTTAAAGAACAAAATGAACGGTGTATATGAACAAATTAATCTCGGATACTCAATCTATATTACAAATGTTAACTTGCCTATACCAGGGGATAGAAACGCGTCCAGTACTTTCGTCTGGTACAACTGGAAATACTGGACGCAGACCCCCATTTTTGATCCAGAGAGAGGTAGGTGTAATTTTCATTTCGTCCGGTATTTCTTTAAATTTAAATTTCGTCATTTTTCTATTATAGATCATTTCAAAGCTAGAGTTTGTCGACTGGTAAATAAAAACAAATCTGACTCGATTCGTGTATTTCCTGGGAAAAGATCATAGTATTTCCATGCTCCACATTTCATAAGAATTGTGTGTTCCTCAATGCACTGGGAATCTGATGAGCCTGTTTCTAGATAAGGAAACACTGTAAAACGATCACAAGCTACCGAGTAAAATCACATCTACCTCTCTCTGGATCAAAAGTGGAGATCTGAGTCCAGTATCTCGGTTTGCACCAGACGAAAACACCGGGCGCGTTTCTACCCCCTATATGGGATATAACACATTGGCATTATACAGCTACCATAGGTTGTCAATGCAAGGTTAAATAACAAGGTTAAAAACCCGATTGCCTCAATAAACATATTGGTATTCAGTAGCCCAATGGGCAACCAATGTTTTACAAACCCATTGCCAAGAAGGAAATCGAAAAAACCATAATTATTGCCATTGGCAGTCAGACAGCTGTGAGTTTCGAACCCTGATCGTCAATATTACGCTTCTATGTTATTTTTTAAGTGTTGAAATATCCAGATTTGCCCAAATTTGCCATTTCCCACTTCGTTATTTATAGTTTAAATGATGTTTAGTGTAAAGTATTTTGGCACCCATCTTACTTTAGAATGTAGTTATATATTCATAGGTCTAGTTATTTGCTACGGAACCCTAAATTGCAAGGTAACGTAATCTCTCAATACTAATGTTATCTCATTTACATGACTTGTAGTGGACAAGACCTTGTATTGAGTATGTGCAAATCTGAAATGTAGTTAAACAACTGATAGTACAGAGCATACATATTGACAACTAGTACACCAATTGACGTTACAAACATTTTAGAGTTCTATCTTATTTTTGGTCCTTGATTCTTTACATTGGACCCATTCGTGAAAAGGACTCGAGAAATTACAATTACAGTTGGGTGAGCCTGAAGACTGACCTATAAAATGGATGTCACATATATGAAGGCAGTGCGTTTGATCCAGCCAGGTGGGCTATTAAAATTAGAAACAATACCGAAACCAACAGTACAATCGCCGTACGATGTCATCGTGAAGGTATCGAACTGCGGCGTCTGTGGGTCAGATCTTCATTTCGTTGCCGGGAATCAGGAGTCGTCTGCCGTGACTGTCACTCTTGGTCATGAATTTTCAGGGATTGTTCACGAGACCGGGAGTGATGTCATTAATGTCAAGGTGGGGGATCGTGTTGGAGTGAACCCTAATGGCGGATGTAAGAGATGTGACTTTTGCCTGAGAGGTAGAGAGAATATGTGTGATACTGGTGGCTGTCGTTCCTCTGTGGGAGTATTTAGGGATGGTGGCTTCGCGGAGTACAGTCGTATTCCATGTGATTATGTGTTCTGCCTGGCAGACGAGACCCCTTTGGAAGTTGGTGTGTTGTGCGAACCTTTGTCGTGTATTATGAGAGGTGCTGACCATTTTGGAGCCATACAGGATGACGCAAGGATCTTAGTTCAGGGCTGTGGCATCACTGGGCTGTTATTTATCACTCTTTTCCACCACCGTGGCTTCAGAAATATATCTGCGTGCGAGGTGTCTGCGACTCGTCGTAAGGTTGTCGAGGACCTTGACCTCGGTATCAAGGTATACACTCCCGATGAACTCCTAGCTGAGTACCCGGAAAAAGAGTCCGCGATCAGGGGTTTCGATATAGTCGCTGACTGCACCGGAGCACCTAGAGCAATTGAGGCCGGGTATAAAATATTAAGACGAGCAGGCAAGATGTGTATCTTTGGCGTGTGCCCCCCTGATGCGACTATAAATATCAAACCGGTGGACTTTATGACGAAAGAACTAAGTCTGCTAGGATGCAATATCAACAATTACACATATCCCAAAGCTGTTGCCTGTGCTCACAATATGGGCGACAAATACCTGAGCTTTGAGAAACTGGGTGTAAAACGCTTCAAACTTGAGGACTTTCAGGACGCGTTTGATGAACTTAAAGCAGGTACTATTGCCAAGGCTGTTTTCTCTATTAGTCAATAGATGAGAGTATTGACGTCGGCGTGCAAGTGGTTTATTTACCTCATACACAACTTTTACTGTAAACCGATTTGATTGGAACTGCAGATTTACAAAGTTGTGAAATTATTTAATTGAGCACAACAGCTATTCATCATAATAATGTGGATAAAATTCAGCAAATTAATTGTATTTGCTATTAAAATGTAGATTTGCCTGAATCAGTGACATGGAATAATATCGATACCAATGACGATGAGTGGATACAACATCTTATCCTATGCCAAGTAGAGTTTTAGGGAGATAAGTTGGTAAGATATATCCCGTATCCTGATTTTGAGGTTTTCATATCCAGAACCTCCATATCTCCCGCCATATCTCCCGCTTCGGTGCATATCTTCCCGCTTCCGGTAATGCAATAAAATGACTTTGCATATGAATGATTTGTTTATTTTTACACCTTGTGCAATTGAAATGGCCATATGCCCCTGAAAAACTCTCTCTACTTGGTATAGGATAAAGCAGTTATGTACGGTCGGTTTGGATATTGGATTCATCCCTCGTGAGATATGCACATCTACCTTCGGTCCCTCAGGTAGATATGCATATCTCCCTCTGGATAAACCCCATATCCAAAACCTCCCAGTACATAACCCTTATATATCAAAAGTGAAAAAATATATGTAATAGGTTTAGTTTATACCATAGAGATTAGCAAGTAGCAATAAACCATTAACACTTATAGATACTGTATAAGCTTATAGATTCAAAATTTTATTATGATTCAAACCAATCATTTGGTTTTCTCACAAAACCAATTACAAGACATTTAATAATACAATTATATAGTACAATGCATTGCTTAACAAACATTTGAACTCAATATGACTATCATACAATCCAGTTTTTTCCTTTTTCAAATAGCTCCCGAGGTTGATTGAAAGGTTTGCTTATAAAATGTATCTATTTGTTTACAATTTCATAATTGGAAGTCATTTAAAAACACTTATATTTTTCTTCATCTGACATATTACCAAAAGTTTCAATAAAACTTAGTTTATCAAAAAAGTGCTTACGAGTATTTCGTGTATATATCAAAACGTACGTATCTGATTGAGACAAGCTAGCGTCCATTGGTTGCGTGGAAATCGATCTATGTCACGGAAAGCCAACGATATATATTTATCGACGGGTTAAAAACTAATACTAAATAGGGTTGGGGTTAGGGCCCATGCCTCTAAGAAGGGTTCGAAACCAGAGCATTTTCAATGTTTGCAAGTTTTTGGCACATACTTTCTATAATTACAATATGTGTTTTTTGAATTTATTGAAAAGTATAGATCATACACTTAAACATAATTTGGATAGATTGGAAAAAATTGTCAAAGTTTTAGTTGAAAAATCAGTGGCAGTGAAGCACTTTGTTCCCATGGTATTGTATTTATGATAAAGTCATTCTGGATGTTCAAGAGATAAAGATTACAATTCCGTCCGGAGGGCTTCGGACTTTTATCTGAGAATTCTGGAGTATTTGTGTAAGACAAATCTCGATAATCATACTCTTGAGAGGTGGGACAGCCTCGTCTTCTGTGGAATATTATATTTCCATTCATCTTGATACAAAATAAAAAATCGACGCAAAGATGATGATCTTCGACCGATCAACGATGGTGATAGCGCCATTGTTTTACGGTAGCCCCTCTTGATCGACCACGTAGACCGGATCAAGCCTGAGTGTTCCTTGCGGTGATTGCTTCCTTTGCATAGGTCAGCTTTGTTTAGAGTGTGTCGTTAAATGATTCACAATATCCAATCGAATCAATGTGTGCCTGGACAATGAATGCAACAGTAGATAATATCGATGATTTTAGGACGTAAGCACAGATGTAAAGTCTACCGAAATTCATGGTTTATTCGAGTTTACCACAGTGTCAATATCTAATTGTTAGTTGTAAATAGAGAGTACCTTATTTCATGAATTGGACAATGATTATGTAAATATTTAGATATGTGTGTCTATGATGTCATCGCATTTCATTTTATCGATGATGTTGGAATAGTAACGGTTCCTACATCGACCATCTTACCGACAGAAGAAATACATAATATGACTTAGCAAGTGTCCAATATTTTCCCGAAATCGTTAAGGTATACAATGTATATGGTATCACATGTCGCTACCTTGGAAACCATCACAATCAACAGTCAACAACAATAATTAATAAAGACCACGACAAACCGATCCTGGCTTAGACTGTTGGCTACTGTTGAACTGATGTTTGGAATTTCTCGTCTCTAAAAAGAGGTTCTGCGAATGACCGACTGTAAGCGCGTAAAGTAATTCAGTAGTGTTTTACAATTTTAAAATGTCTGAAACACTGGCTGTTAAAGTCGTTCAAGGAATAGCATTCGGAGTAATCACTTGCGTCTCTGTGTTTGGGAATTCGCTGGTCATCATAGCAGTTTACAAGAACTCAAATTTCAGGAACGCTTACAATTTTTACATCGTTTCGCTAGCAATATCCGATTTATTAGTTTCAGTGTTGGTTTTACCACCAAATGCTATATTCACATTGCAAGAAAAGTGGATCCTTGGCCCATTCCTATGCCAGCTATGGATGATGTTGGATGTGATGTTCTGTACGGCTTCAATTCTCAATCTTTGCGCCATTAGTATCGATAGACTTCGGGCTGTCGTCACACCCATCAGCTATACCACTCACAAGTGGAGTGTGGGTGTCATCATTTCTCTCTCTATCGTTTGGATCACGTCGTTGATAATTGGGCTGTTGCCGATTATCATCTGGACAGACACTGTCGTCAGTCGACTAAATGAGACTGAAATATGTGAACTTCCAGTAGATCCCATTTTCGCAACAGTATCTTCAACCTTCTCGTTTTTTGTTCCGTGTATTTTAATTATCATCTGTTATATTGTGATTTTGTCGGCACTTAAGAAACGATTAACGGAGAAAATGTCCAAGATTGGACCCACTGGCATTACCGAGGATGCTACCACCAACGTAGTTGACGTTGACAAAGAGGGTGTGACAACGGTGAGTGGAAAGGTTGCGACAAATGTGTCACTCGACGACTCTTCAACTCAGGAGCAAAATGCCGGGGGAACGACAAAAAACATGAAAACAAAAGATGCACCTAAAACGAACAATTCACAGATACAAGCTGTTTACAAGCGCGAAATGAAAACAATGAAGACACTAGGTATAGTTTTGGCTGTTTTTATCATTTGTTGGATGCCATTCTTTGTTTGCAACGTCATCAACTCAGTGAGTGGACCTGTCAATATGAACCTATTCATAGTTGTCATCTGGATGGGGTATATCAATTCAATGATCAACCCTATCATATACAGCTTGAAGAACAAGGAATATAGGAAAGCATTTAAAAGCATATTACGATGTGGATAAAAATTAAACTGACGAGTAAGAAACAACTAATTTAATTAAGAAAGTATTGTCCCTTGGGACGTCCCTGTATATAGTGGACCTCAATGTGTAATGCTTTTAAGACGCATTTAGTACTCACGGACGAGTAGAAACAAAGGACGATAAGTATTCGAGGACGAATAATAAAAAAGGACGACGAGTACTCGATGACGATTAATAGTGTCAAACGGTTATGCTCAAGGACGATCTGTACTCAAGTACGCTTGATAATGATTGATGAACTCACTGTTCGAAAACATTAAACATTTTAGTTTCACGTTTGCACGTTTGTCTTTGGTATTGTTCCTGTGCAAGAATATCACGTTCCATGTTGAAACCTTTATAATGTAGACGTTCTTTAAATATAGAACTGCTTACAATATCATTATATTCAATAGTTTGCGATTTTGGTACTACCTACGAGCGTAGCTAGGCTTGAGGTAGGCAGGCCAACTGGCTAAATGAAACAGCAGGTATAGTTATGGTAATTTATTTTAGAATGTCAAATTTTTGCCAATATTTTTTTTGAAAGAAGACCTTACTTTTCTAATACAAGCAAACGTTTTTTCGGCACAGTGTCAGTTACGTAGGGCACTGAAATGCAATACAGTTGGAGACAGCATATCCCATGTTGATATGGTAACAGGACAACTCATCCCTAAGACAACTCATCCCAAGTCAACTCATCCCCAAGACATCTCATCCCAAGACAACTCATCCCAAGACAACTCATCCCAAGACAACTCATCCCCAAGACATCTCATCCCAAGACAACTCATCCCAAGACAACTCATCCCAAGACATCTCATCCCAAGACATCTCATCCCAAGACAACTCATCCCAAGACATCTCATCCCAAGACAACTCATCCCCAAGACAACTCTTCCCAACTTGAAATATAACGTAATTTTATACAATGAATTTCAAGCTTTGAAAGAGTATTTGAATATTGAATATTTTAGAGATTTTAGCAGTAAGTACACTGTGTTTGACCCTGGAATATCTTTTGTATTTTGAGCTAGTTTAGTCTAGCTTTAGTTAATTTTATTGATTGATTGGGATAAAGATAAACATGTTCAAATTAATATATACTTTGATTATTAAATCAAAGATCATCAAAGGTGTCAAATTAGGATTAACGCAATAAGAATGTATTATCTGGGGTATTATCAGAATAATTCCCCCAGATTAATTCAGTCTTTGTTTTAAAATATTTTGCTTAATTCCAATATGTCATATTTACCTTATTTTTTAATAAGATTTCCAATTTTAAACTTTCAGAATCATGATGATTGAATTTGGAAATTATGTCTTATACCGGGACGTAAAAGTAGGACATAACTTTCAAGTGCCATTTCGAAATGCTAAAAATTATCAATACTTAGATTGAGAGTATAATCAAATATCAATTTATAATCGAAAAAATAAAAAAAATGATATATATAATATAGAGGACTAATTAAAGTATACTAGTGGGATGAGTTGTCTTGGGATGAGATGTCTTGGGATGAGTTGTCTTGGGATGAGTTGTCTTGGGATGAGATGTCTTGGGATGATATGTCTTGGGATGAGTTGTCTTAGGGATGACTTGTCTTGGGATGAGATGTCTTAGGGATGACTTGTCTTTGGATGAGTTGTCTAGAAACCGTTGATATCCTATAGGGCAAACATCATGCCATCCATTGTTTTCAGCACAATTTTGGTTACCAAGATTTGTTATCTTCCAAATAAGGCGTTCAACGTCATTCTACAGTATTGATCTCTTATTGTTTAAATAACCTATATGCAAAAACAAAAAAAAACGGGGTGCCATACTATACTTGGACTACTTTCTTACTGAAAACCGTGAAAAACTATTTTGTTTTTCGCATTTTATTTTTCACGCCTATTTTCAGACCATTTTTTACCACAGCAACGATGATTATCTAATTAGCTCCGTCTATTTGGAACTTGTCAAGGCGACTGGCAACTTTTAGGTTGGTTCGCATGCTTGGCCGTAACCAGGCATGAGGCGAGGTACCTGCCTCCCCAAAATTTAAAGAAAAAATCACTTGCACACATGGGCGTAGGTATGCATGAGACAAAATTCATTTAGGATACTTTTTGTATGAAAACCTGAAAAGAAATATAATGATATACGATTTTCTCTTGATCAATATGAAAATAAACGTAATAAGTAAAATGTGTAGATGAATCACAATCTAATAGTAACTAAGATTTTGGAACTAAAAAGAAACAACAACGACAAATTCTAAGGGAGAAATGCGATCTGAAAGACGTATGGCCCCATATTAAATCAATGCCCCTTGCTGAAATCCTCAATTTTTCAGAACTCAAAATGATAGAGCCCCAACAAGTAGATTCGTGTTGGTGAGTATTGCTGGAATCCATTTTCAAAAGTTAGAATAGATGTTCTTAAACAGGACATTAAAGATTTAACTAAGCCCTTTTTAAAATTTGTGGTTAGTCCTAAAATGTGGATGTCGAAATTACTCTTTTTGGGATACGTTTGAGACGGCAAATGTACTGATTGCAGCAGGAGATTTTCCTTACAATTTTGACAAATCGTATCTCTCTGTTTCTGCCTAAAATAACCACATTCAATGTTAAATTGAATGGACATTCTGATACATGTCCGACATCTTCTTATCTGCAAATCAAGGGTAGTGACATATCGTCCCATTATTTACGAATTGTTATAAGTCACTTTTTGCAGGTTTTGAGATAAGTACAGTATACTTTCTTCCTCAATTTTTCACGGGGAATTAATTTCTGAGGTCCATTTCAATGGATCTAATCTCCTTTTGGAGATATCCAGTGCCACATTGTTATACTTGCAAAACGAGGAAAAAAAGTTTAGGCCCACCTTGTCATATCCGTTTGGGTAGGCAGCACAGCCAATCAGATTACATCATTTTGATCATATGGAAATAATGGGATGATCACTTCATTATTAGTATACATGTACTTTGCATGAAATTGACAAAATGGAACATAATTCATATTCTGTATAATAAGATGGACAGAATAATGGTACATGGGGCAATAACAAAATGGAAGTGAACAAAAATTCAGTTTTCATACTCGGGTTATTTCAGGGATATTTCAAAAACAAGAAACCATGAAAAAAGTTTTTTATTTATTGTTCATCGGTGAATTTTGGAAGGCCTACAATGATTACCCATGATAAGAAAAACAAGGTTTTAGAAATTACAACTCAAAAGTTATGAAGTCCCAAATCTTCAACCTCTGATTTCTCAATTTTAGCTAAATGTAACTGTAGCAATGAGGAAATAATGGGTCGATATACAGCTCGACAGATTCACGAATATTTTTGTTGAGATTTGCTACTCCGTGGAGTTGACGTTTTCATAAGAGTAAGACTTATATAACTTGAATCAATATGTCCGTCATAATGATCATATATCCAATACGGCATTAATGATGGGTGGAATTTAAACCAACTGTATAGGATGGAATCAATATGGATATTAGAAGGTAAACATTTAGTTCATTGATTTTCAATGTTTGGGTTGCTAACACTTCACCCGAAGACTTTGAAATGAAGAGGTAGCAAAGTGTTATCTTTCTTGGGCACAATAACCAATCTCGATTGCTAAGCATTATAGATTCCATTACAAATGAAATTGAAATAAGGCCAGGTTGTGTGGGAGGTTTTTAAAAGATATTTCGGCCGCATTCGACTCATTAACACTGATATTCATTACTAATTAAAAGCTAAAATCATATGGTTTAGGCCCATCCTTTTCGTCCCTTTTGCAGTCATGCTTTACAAGTCGACGTTTGGATGTAGTGCTTTATAGACTACAATAAAATTTGGACACGAATTACATCCATACAGGAGTCCCTCAAGGATCCATTCTTGGCCCTTTATTATTCCAGGTAAATGATCCCTTAAAACCCGCATGATAATTATTTTCCGTACCAGCACCAGCACTCAGGTGGCAGAATTTTTAATAGAAAATACTTTTAAAAGAAACTTCTTTTATAACTCTAGGTATTTTCAATAAAACATTCTGCCATCTGTGACTCAGAGCATCATTTCTAAATGCCCAAATGTGTATGTTTCCCAGTCGTCGCTCTGAGATTTTTTATTTACATATTCTTTTTCATACTTTTTTCATGCAGTCTTTAAGTTTCTTGTATACAGACGATGTTACAACCCATTTTAAGAACCACAAAGCTAATAGACTAGATGCGAGTAGAAATAATCTTGATTTACCTCATTAAATATTCAAAATTCAGTAAAAGTGATCTCATATTTGAAATCTGCATGTAAAAGTACATCCAGTAATATGGTTTCGAAAATTGTCTATCAACTTTGAAAATTAAAATTTTGGGGAAAATGTGACTTCTTGTTCGGGTTGATTCACCATAGACCCCATATTACAAAATCACAAAAAGTGAAATATCTTTTCTTGTATTGGACAGATAACATTTTCTTTTACTGGACATATTTTAATTTGCAGAACTATTAGATACATACGGGTTATATGAAAATTGAACCACGCAAGCAGATGTGATTTAAGTTAAAGGTAACTTTCTTCTATACCCGCCATGCTATCTGACCCGAACGAGCCACCTGGTGGTGAATCTGGTAACTACCTACTCGCATCTGCGTTATTTGATAGATGAATTGCTGTATACGTAGACTGATAACTGAAGCAATTTTGGTTGAGCTAAAATACTTATATGGAGACAGCCAAAAACAAATAGAATATTTCCAAATGGATTGATATTAAACAGTATTAAAATTTTATTGGCATGAAACTGGATATTTTGAACTTGTGGATTTTGATTTATTATTTAACCTTATAATTGCAGGCCAGGGAGGGGGTTCCCGGTCTACAGACCTGAATTGTGATTCACAGAATTCAAACACCATCAAGATTTCAAAGCTAGGAGCAAAGTCCCAATTGGTCTGGAAAATGATATTTAACGCCTCTTAGAACAAGTGCTGGCCTAATTTTGAGAAAACTCAAACTGATTCAGAAATATTCCCCGCGATGTTAACTACCAGAGTGAGGTTATTCCATGAGTCACACACATTTGAACAACACTTAAAGTAAATTCGTAATTATTTTATTTTCTACAATCTTTACATCTTGTTATATATTATATTATGTATAGCTTTGCAAACATACATGTTATTCTGGAATACAAACAATATTAGATGAACATGAAAAATACCATGTTTATAAAAAAATACATTTTTTTCTTTATACTACGCATTGACAAAATGTACCTTGTAAACCATTCTCTACACAATATCATCAAGATATATAACCTTGAAGCAACTCTTTGTCCAACCCCCAAACTGAAACAGGTAATTTATCAAAAGGGAATTCAATGTGTTTACAATACAGAGGCCTCATTATCCGGTCGACGCACCGCAAATCGCAATCGCAACGTAAATATTTAGCGAATCGTACGCAAAACGATATTATGAGGTCATCTTAAAGGCACTCTAGCGGAAATTCATTGCCGTTTTGCGTCTTTAGCGCAAATCGCAGTTTTCTTATTACACGGTAGACGCATCGCTATTTTCATTTCGCATCGCAAATACACTGCTAACCGCACGCAAATTGATATTATGCAGTCATCGCACAGTTGCGTCCACGTAAATCAGTTGATTTTTATGTCGCAAACTCCACTTTATTTGCGGCATCCCTGACCCTGCCGCAATATAAATCGCAAACATATCATCAAGAATCTTGATAGTTTTCCTATTTAAATTAACATTATCGTTGTAGAAATCTAGGAAGTGCCCTTTGAGACATCCAACTAAAAATAGGTTGAAAAACATTAGAGACACAAATAACCAAAACAAAATCAAGTCTGAAAGTGCACGATTATGCTACCTTGGTTTTGTGAAATCTATAATAAATATCGCAATTCCATTTCGCTGACAATTCCATGTCAGCTAAAAGTATTCATTTCATTACGGTTTTATGCTACAGGTTGTATGCAAATGATAAATGGAGATATATTCGGGGTATCCCAACCTACTGTTTCGAACATTGTTGCTGAGGTATCGGCGGTTTTCTCTAGGTAGGCTATACCAGTCGGACTAATTACAAAGACACCGTGTCTTGTTTTCAAGATGGGCTGCCTTCCAGTGACAGATCTAGATTTTCGCAAGGGGAGGGATTCAATATGGGTTTTATTATGATGGACAATATGATATTTACCGAGAGCCCGGAGGGTCAGAGGGAAATACCAAATTGTCCCTCACAATATGTGAAATATCAAATTGTCATGAGGAATAAACCAATATTTAATCCCGACCAGTAAATTAGCTTTTTATTCCATGATATTCATAACTGTCTTCATAAAATCGTTAGTTAGATTTTTCTATGAAAAAATGGTATATTTAATCAAGAAAATATGACTTAGCTTTATGATATTTTTAAATATAAAAAAATTATTGTACATGTGTAACATAAACACATCAACATCAAAACATTCAGCAATACGTAAGCATTTTTGTCTGTGTCAGAGCAATGATGATAAAACTGGAATTCGTTTTTCACATAAGAACATCATTTTAGCATGCTATATCGACCCAACTGATTGAAAGAGGAAGCTTTGTTTGGCAAAAATTTTCAATACGATTTTTTCTCAATATCAAAAATATTCCCGGTTATTCATCGGGAATTAGTAGTATCATGGGATAAATAGAGATTATCCTATATGAGGTTCAGGATATTGAACTATAGGATGATCTGTTTATCCCATACCAATCTTGGTCATTTTGTTCACGCTGTTCAATTGGCCGGAGTTCAGAAAATGTCCAACCAACCGTAAGAAATCATTTAGAATAGCCTGATTTTCAGATATTCATCCACATTTATTTCTGAAATCTTTGTTTAACAGGGATACGCTCATTTCCTTCCTTCAAACAGATCGCGATTGTCTGCCTTTTCTCCATTAACGTTTACAGTAATTATGCGCATGTTACAAAAATGAACCAATATGCGAACGGCGATTATGACGTCAGCGGGCAGATATACTATATCTGCCCGCTCAGAGCGGGACGTATAGCTATATCTGACCGCTGATGAAAATATATAGAGGTTATTTAATGGGAGGTTTTTGATACAGGGTATATCTGAGGGAAATACAATATATCAACCCGGGGGACCGTAGGGACCGAGGGTTGATATATTGTATTTACCGAGGGATATACCCTGTATCAAAAATCGAGCATTTAATAACTGATTTATTCTATACTTAGTAGATTGTGAAGAATAATAGCAAAGTCCCCTGGCTCAGTATCTACTCCCTGAATTTATGACGTCGTAGATCTGCTGAGCGGGAGATATATATATCTCCCGCTCACGTCACATATCAGTTATATTCCCGTCATGTTATAACACTACTAAGTATGGAATAAAAGTTTTTACAAACCAGCTTTATGTACCTATAACACGTCCAAGTATGGGATAGACACATCCGCACTGGCGTAAACATATACATAGACATTAAAAAATCGATAAATCTACTTTGAGCTCTAAGTTTAAATTTCCCGCGTTTCCAATTTATTTGCGATTAGCATACTGTTGCGTCTGCGTTGCGTCTGCGTTTGCGTGAAGCGCGTAATACGACGCAAACCATGATTTGCGCTTGCGAATAATGTTGATTCGCAAGCGCAACGCAAATCGCAACGCTAATTTAGCGCTGACCGGATAATGAGGGCTCAGATCTAGAGATTTTGATATAAGGCATTGAAAAATAGCGTAAATTACCGTGGGACATTTTACATTCATGATTATAACAACTCAAACAAGACACCCTTTTTCCATCAGATCCCCTGAATATTATACAATCCCACATCTGAAACGTCATGCTGAAATATTATGCATTTTAATTTAGCTAGGGCATCACTTTATACAAACGATAATTCCTCCAAGTTACAAAACATAACTTGACAGCTTGGCATGTCAATAACATATGATATTCAAGAATTCCAAACTTCAAGAATATAAGCCGTGTTCATGCCAGGGCTGTGATATTGTATTCTCTTTCTAACCTGGTGTCAATTTCACATGCTCCAAACATACCCAATTATCTTAAAGTGACAAAGTTACATATAAATTCATTATCCAAACAAGCATCTCTTTGAAAGAATAGATTGATCTTACTGTTTCATGATTAATAATAGAGTAATCCGATACATCTGTACATAAAGGGCTTTCCTCACAATGGACAACAACAACGTCATGAAATCCTTTTATGCTGTAGGATTTCCAAGGCCATGATATAATGTTAATCATCAAATCAATTATTCACGATTGAATTACAAAATGTTGATTATCTTACAGGGACAATCAAAAAGATCAAAACCTACTGGTCAAAATTTGATCATATATGAGGGTTGATCCAAAAGTTCTGAACAATTTGCTCTAAAAATCTTAATTCTTTGTGAATATTGTTCATAATTGACCTCAGTCACCCCATTATATAGTACTGTAGTTTCATTTTGTGTCAAAATAAGCAATAAATTTGAGCAGTAACAAACATTTGGATCAACCCTCATATTTACTGTTATTTTCAGAAAATTGGTTCCAAGGCATTTAGGGCCAACAACTTGTTAATACAAGGTGTGATCAAGGCACATTTTACAGGAAAGCCAATTAATGATAACCATGGAAACATCACAATTACTTGACTTTAGAATGATGTCTATGGAAATAAATAAAAATTAAGGCACATTATACCCATTATGTTTACATCAGCATTATCAAAATACATCTTAACATAAGAAGAACATAAATTATTTTAAGATGTCAAAATATATCAAAATGTTTTGAGATTGAACTGTTCTGAGTCTCCTTGTTTTGTCTCCAGAAAAGGTAAACTAAGAATGTTGATATTCTGTTAAAATTACTATGCAATTTTTTAATCTTGAGTTTTTGCACATAAGTGTTATATTTTTGCTGCAGTTACACATGTGCTGATGTTACACTTGCAATGCAGTTACACATGTGCTGATGTTACACTTGCAATGCAGTTACACATGTGCAGATGTTACACTTGCAATGCAGTTACACATGTGCTGTTTTACACTTGCAATGCAGTTACACAATGTACATGTGCTATATTTACACTTTTGCTGTAGTTACACATGTGCTGTATTACATAAGTGCTATTCCTGTGTGTAACATTTACACTAATACTACATATACATGTGTGTAAGACACTTAATTTCTACTCAAAATGTATTTATATATACAGCTGGCTGTATTTTTGGTCCCTTTCTTAATGCTGACCCACCTACCCCACTTTTATCATTCTTTATTTAAAAAGCGTAATCATTTCTACAAAATCATGTACAAATGTTTGAGAAGTTGTCTCATTGAGCACACACATAGACTGTAATTCAATAATTTCCCTCAACTTGAAGCCCATGGGTCTTACATTGAAATCACTTGAATTAAAATTGATCATTAATTATAGCTGACCATAGTCTGAGAAATTTGAAGTACTTACAACAATTCAATTTTAGCTATTGGAACCCTGCGTGCAGAGTCTAGTTACAAACTCATGTAGATGAAGCTCTCTTTTAAGAAGCGAAGTAAAACAAATGCAGAGTAAGCAATCGGTGTACTACATTTAGTAATTCTTGATTTCTTGTATTGAAGAAATATCTTCTTTCATGTAGATGTCTTTAACATGTCTGTTTATATGTATGGTAATGTATTATCTTTGACATTTAACTACCCTACTTCAGTGTACTTATGGTCTAACTTTTAAAACTAATAAAAATAGTAAAACTTTAAAATAACTAAGGTGACATATATAGAGGTTATTTAATGGGAGGGATGGAATATGGATTTTATTCCGAGGGAAAATATGATATTGGCCAAGGAAAATATCATATTGACCGAGGGCGTTAGCCCGAGTGTCAATATGATATTTTCTGAGGCCAATATCATATTTTCTCAAGGAATAAATCCATATTCCATCACGACCATCAATAACCTATTTATTTCATAATATTTTTTTTCAATTTTTGTATGTCATCATCCAATGATTGTGATAATAACTTTGTCACAATAATAGACCTTTGTCACAGTAATAGACGTAAACTAGATGATAATAATTTCAATAATTTCAATTTTCTAAACGATTTTTTTACTTCCTGTAGAGATGTGCTAGACGAAAAGCGTAAAGCTCAAGAGAAATTACCGGGAATATTTCTGATACGGGATCTGATACGGGATTTTTGCTGATACGGGATCCAATACGGGATCTGATACGGGATTTTGGCTGATACGGGATCTGATACGGGATTTTTCAAATAACACTTTTATTCCCTGTTATTTTCCCAGGGAAAACATGTTATTATGGAATAATAGATGTTTCCCATTGACTGACATTGTTTCTCTCTAATCAATAATCCAATATTTATGTACAAATTGTAAATTAAGGATGAACCTCGTTTGAGGATTTAGCAGCTGAGATTTCTATACCACAATATTTGAGAATTCGGCTACCAACATGTATTTAAATTGATGTGGTTATATTTTACTCGACATTCAATTGGCAACAAGGCACAATGTTGAATATCACACTTGAAGGGCAAATGGCTGTGTTGTAAATTACCGAGCATGCCCAAAACATAATCAGTTCTGGTCACACATTTGTATATATTGGATCGAAGTTTCTTAATGGTTTTCTTACTATTATCATACATCATAGGAAGATTTCATTTGCTTCCTGCCTACTAGCCAAACAGCCCAATGATGACCAAATAGCACTTTGCAAGTTTGATAAAAAAGAACCACAGTTACCTGTGTAGAAATTAAAGGATACAGACATATTGAGTCATTCCTTCTTCATGCCGAGCCATTCCTTATCTGAGTACTTTAAGACATTATTTTCAACGGCCTAATTTAGCAGTCTTTTTACATTCTACTTTTAGAAATCTGTTTGCTAAACATCCTAGCAATCAAAGGAACAATTCTCATAATGACAGATTTATCATATATATTCATACACAACATTCGCCTCATTTGTCGATCATTGATGCATATTATTATCTCTCATTCGAGCACACAATATCACCATGTATCACGTAACGACCCACCATTGCTTTCTAAAGAAAAGTTCAGGGTTTAAATATACTAAAATCACTCTTTTAGTGTTGTGTATAAAACTAAATTGTAAACTGGAACATATCAGATAATTGTTTACATGACTTGTTCCAATAAATCATACAACCTTTATTAAAATATTTCCTAGAAAGGAACTGCTACACTCAAATACTGCACTGTCCTGCGATGATGGTAACACGGGTGATGCTTTCAGTCTATTTCAGATTTTGAACTACACGTATGTGTGAGATTTTTCTCCTACTGATGATTCTCCATTGCAAAAAATGTTATTCTGTTAAACCCTCCATTTTTGGCTTTTTGTTTACCATTTGTTTGTTTGTTTACTTGTTGTTGATTACTTCTTTGTTTAGTTAGTGTCTGATGATTCAACAGTTATTCCTTCATCATCTGAAAAACAAGACATAAGGTATTAAACATGTCAAAATTAACAAGTACAAGACTGAACAACAAGACATCAAGTCTTGAGTAGCAATTCAAGTTCACATGTCACTTATTGAGTAATGGCTAGTTTTACATGAAAAGGCATTGTGGTTGTAAAATATTAAGAATGTGAAGCATCACATTTTAAATATATGGCAACACAGTATGTCACAACATTATAAATGTACCAATACAAATCTGTCACAACACTCGAAAGGCATTGATACATTGTGCCGGCCGTAACTATCAGTGTACCAATACAATATATCCTAACATTATCAATGAACAAATACAATTTGTCAAAACAATATCAATGCATCAATACATTGTGTCACAACAATATCAATACATTGTGTCACAACAATATCAATGCACCAATATATTGTGTCACAACAATATCAATGCATCAATACATTGTAACAATATCAATGCATCAATACATTTTGTCACAACAATATCAATGCACCAATACATTGTGTCAAAACAATATCAATGCATCAATACATTGTGTCACAACAATATCAATGCACCAATACATTGTGTCACAACAATATCAATGCATCAATACTTTGTAACAATATCAATGCATCAATACATTTTGTCACAACAATATCAATGCACCAATACATTGTGTCAAAACAATATCAATGCATCAATACATTGTGTCACAAGAATATCAATGCACCAATACATTGTGTCACAACAATATCAATGCACCAATACATTGTGTCAAAACAATATCAATGCACCAATACATTGTGTCACAACAATATCAATGCATCAATACATTGTGTCAAAACAATATCAATGCATCAATACATTGTGTCACAAGAATATCAATGCACCAATACATTGTGTCACAACAATATCAATGCACCAATACATTGTGTCAAAACAATATCAATGCACCAATACATTGTGTCACAACAATATCAATGCATCAATACATTGTGTCACAACAATATCAATGCATCAATACATTGTGTCACAACAATATCAATGCATCAATACATTGTGTCAGAACAATATCAATGCATCAATACATTATGTCAAAACAATATCAATGCACCAATACATTGTGCCACAACAATGTCAATGCACCAATACATTGTGTCACAACAATATCAATGCATCAATACATTGTGTCACAACAATATCAATGCATCAATACATTGTGTCACAACAATATCAATGCATCAATACATTGTGTCACAACAATATCAATGCATCAATACATTGTGTCACAACAATATCAATGCATCAATACATTGTGTCAAAACAATATCAATGCACCAATACATTGTGCCACAACAATGTCAATGCACCAATACATTGTGTCACAACAATATCAATGCATCAATACATTGTGTAACAACAATATCAATGCATCAATACATTGTGTCACAACAATATCAATGCATCAATACATTGTGCCACAACAATGTCAATGCACCAATACATTGTGTCAAAACAATATCAATGCACCAATACATTGTGTCACAACAATATCAATGCATCAATACATTGTGTCACAACAATATCAATGCATCAATACATTGTGCCACAACAATGTCAATGCACCAATACATTGTGTCACAACAATATCAATGCACCAATACATTGTGCCACAACAATGTCAATGCACCAATACATTGTGTCACAACAATATCAATGCATCAATACATTGTGTCACAACAATATCAATGCACCAATACATTGTGTCAAAACAATATCAATGCACCAATACATTGTGTCACAACAATATCAATGCATCAATACATTGTGTCACAACAATATCAATGCATCAATACATTGTGTCACAACAATATCAATGCATCAATACATTGTGCCACAACAATGTCAATGCACCAATACATTGTGTCAAAACAATATCAATGCACCAATACATTGTGTCACAACAATATCAATGCATCAATACATTGTGTCACAACAATATCAATGCATCAATACATTGTGCCACAACAATGTCAATGCACCAATACATTGTGTCAAAACAATATCAATGCACCAATACATTGTGTCACAACAATATCAATGCATCAATACATTGTAACAATATCAATGCATCAATACATTGTGTCACAACAATATCAATGCATCAATGCATTGTGTCAGAACAATATCAATGCACCAATACATTGTGTCACAAGAATATCAATGCACCAATACATTGTGTCAAAACAATATCAATGCATCAATACATTGTGTCACAACAATATCAATGCACCAATACATTGTGTCACAACAATATCAATGCATCAATACATTGTAACAATATCAATGCATCAATACATTGTGTCAAAACAATATCAATGCACCAATACATTGTGTCAAAACAATATCAATGGATCAATACATTGTGTCACAACAATATCAATGCACCAACACATTTTGTCACAACAATATCAATGCACCAATACATTTGTCACAACAATATAAATGCGTCAATACATTGTGTCACAACAATATCAATGCACCAATACATTTTGTCACAACAATATCAATGCACCAATACATTGTGCCACAACAATGTCAATGCATCAATACATTGTGTCACAACAATATCAATGCATCAATACATTGTATCACAACAATATCAATGCACCAATACATATTGTCTATGGAGTACCAATGCATTAACTGTGTATTTATGGTCAAAGTGTAATGCCATAATGATAAGTAAAAAAAGTAACAGATGGACATACTTTTATTTTTGGTTTTCAAACTCAGAAAATATCAACTCCAAGCTGGTGCGTTTTATTCAGTTTTGCCACTATGTTGAACATTTTAGGTGCAAGATTATTCAGAGCCATTCAAAAATAGAATTAACCACATATTCAAGGGATTGATTCATTTTTAACAATAGATTACAAAAATAATGCATATAAAATCTTCAATGTAGATTGTGATGATTGGCCATGGGGTTGACACAACATAAACAGGAATTTATCTCATTTCAGTTGGATAAATCCAAGCTTGGAAGAAAAAAACATCCATGGTTTAAAAATAATATAAAAACAACACATTTGATCCTATGCAGTTTAGTGAGGAACTATGTACATAACATGCAACTTCCAATGTGTGTGAATTTTATGCATGATTGAAACCAGGTGCGAAATATCATGCAATGCAATGCATTTAGACTCTTGAATAGCATGCCTGTTTAACTGTTTATAGTATTTAGTAAAACATTTTAATAGAAATCATGCATGATGACTTACATGTGCAACATCATCAATTCATGCAGTAATAACTCAAATTTCATATCATGAATTATACTTAATTACAGTTTCATGTATAACTCATCAAAGATGAGAGCTTTGAATATTTAACTCGAATAGAATAGTTTCAGAAATAGGTCAGCCCTCAAATATGTTAAATTAAAAAATGCAATATCAGCCAAATAAACCTGGTCAACTTGGTTGAGGGATTTCAAGAACCTAACAAGCAACAAGCAAATATGAGGATTCAGGGACATATAAGATATACAAGATATATTCACTGTGGAGTAATCAATAACATACTAGGAGGGAATTTCAACCATATCTTTCATTCTAATTATTATTTCAGGACAATCTATGCATATCACCATATCAGCATGCTTTTCTAAAATCTTGTTTTATCAAACCCTAATTTCTGTTCACAAAATGCATTATGGGAATGGTACACCTTTAAATTAGCAACTACATATCAAGAGAAATCCAATATTTTCTGACCTTGTTTCAATGGCAACAAAACAGCAAGACAATAAGTTACCAAGCAACAAAACAACAAAGTCCCTAGCAACCCTGAGATATCTGTGTCTCTATAGCAACATAACAGTAGTTACTATCAACATAATACTTTACCATACTCATCAATATAAATCTGTCCCCCTAGGTAGCTATAGTTAGCATAGAGATTCTCTAGAAAAACATATATAATTTTGTACAAATACACAGAATGAGGTTCTACGAGAGGAATTTTGGAACAATTTAATTCCTAAGAGGAGCAAAAACAATGAACAATGAATGGATGAAGATTATCCATTTGAAATATGATGTCAAAAGAATATAAGTTGATGAAAAACAAATAATAATTTCAGGAACAACACTTGTGTACTCGTATATGGAGCATGTTCTCTATTTAGGGAATATCGAGCTTCTGTACACAATCTACTGCAAATTCTATAACACTCAAGAGGGTCAAGCAATTTTTTGAAGAATACAAACGATGACGATGAAAAGCAGATTTTTTCAAAAATGAGTCAAAAATCAGGACAAATGGTGTAAAATTTCTAAAATTTAGATCTTGAATAAATTCAGTGTATGAATCAATCAATGTACAGGTGAAGGGTACAACTTGATAAGTCAATGATTATGAATATAGTGGTTCAATGAACATCAACACCAAGCCCACTCATGTCATATCATATGTCCAATACTGCATTAATGACTCTGTAATCCAAATTATATAAGCAGTAAGAAGGAAGTAATTAGCCCTATATTAATTGGAAAATACAAATTGACAAATTAAAAGGAACAGGAAAGAATTATAAAGTGGAACATATTGACATATTTCAAAGACAATTACTGGTATCTTTTTTTAAACGATGTAAAAATATCTAGGTCACCCTAACCACTGTAACCCTCCACAAATAGAACCATGAATGTCTGACTGAATACTGTTAAATGATTTTCATCATATAACGTGGCTGATACTGCTTATGCCCAGCCACAAGCACATGTGCACTTGTTATAAAGTATTCTTTGTATAAATAAATAAATAAAAAAAATAAAAAAAGGTTGAGATGATGTAACACAGGCCACGTGATTGGTGGTTGGTTGTTGTTAAAAAACTAAAATAATTTATTTTAAGTATGATTATGATAAAAGCTGCTTTGTCTTTTTCAATATCTGAACTTCTACCATATAATATAAAATCAGAGTACTGGTTCAAAAGAGGACATCTCAAACAAAATTAACTTTAATTGCCATTGCCAAGCGAGGGGCAAGGTGATTATAAAGACATTATCACATCAGGCATTAATTGGCTTATTCCTAGGGATTTTAATTCCTAGGGATTATTCGTTTAAAAATAAAAATATTTAGCAAAATCTTTAAGTATATAATAATTCGTAATGATCTCATTTCTTAATTTCCATATTGATTCTAACATTGCTACTGTACTTTAATTCAAGTTATGTACCGGCCGAGTTTCTTAATTGATATTATGATAAGTAAGTAATAATAAGTATAATGTTTCTCTATTGATATAATGTGCAAGTTCATATATTTACATCAATATCACTTTGGCTTACTATAATCAACAATTATTCCAATAATGTTTACAATACAAGTGAAATGACAATATAAAACTAATACAATAATATTTGTGCTAAACAGATGACAATAAGCATATTTGCTAACGTTGCAATAGTACAAATAAGTGTGACTATGAACTTTTTGTTTGTTACCATGGCAACAAAATAATTGCTATGGTAACTGATATTACCTATAATACATACAGATTCCAGGGTCCTCGTCTGAGTAAACATAATGGAAAAAATATGTTATAGTACATCAAAGTACATTTTTGTTTATTTCAAAGGTGCTGGTACTGCAATCTTCAAACTAGTTACTGAAATAGATCCATTTCGGTAACTAGTTTGAAGAGTGTAGTAGCAGATCTATTTTGGTAACTAGTTTGAAGAGTGTAGTAACAGATCCATTTCGGTAACTAGTTTGAAGAGTGCAGTAACAGATCCATTTCAGTAACTAGTTTGAAAAGTGCAGTAACAGATCCATTTCGGTAACTAGTTTGAAGAGTGCATTACCAACGAAATACACACTTCACCTAATTCATACTAATAGAAACAAATTCAATGTATATTTGGACAAATCAAGGTTTAATACAAAGCAATCAACATCCATTTGAGTTTCTTGTAACCAATAAAACAAATGCTATAATAATAGAATAAAAAATGGTTATTTGTTTGCAAATTGTCTTTGCACAATGTAATGTTTAAATAGATGTCGCATCATACATATTGCTAGTTTTTGAAATAGCCATCAGAGGTGGGGCATAGTGGACTAAAATTTTTGAAACAAGGTATTGACGTGATAATATGTCACTATCTGGTTGCAGTTACAGTAGTGTAACCGTTTGTCACAGATGTTGACACTAAATGCCAAATGCTGGTCCTCGACACAAAAATGGTGGCTGAAATGATATATGAATCGATATATCTTCAGTTTCTTAAATTTCCAATTATATATCATCAGATGTGATTTGATTGAGCGACTGACATAGAATATATTGACTCCTATAGGTGCTATATAAGATCAGAATCCTTAATTACTTTGTGTTACATAACAATTATAGATCATATATACATATCAGCCAAACTCACTTTGCAGGGGGAAATAGGCTTGATCTTTGATGTGATTTTTCTTGACTGAAAGAGATTAAGTATTGATGGATGGTTAATAGAGACCAATTAACTCCAAATTTTATCTGAAGGGTGAAAAACAACACCTAGGAAAATAAAGAGCATATCTGAATTGAACTGAATATTGAACTTTTTCGAAATAGCATGCTGTTTTTGATCAAATTAGGGGATAAGATCATATCACAATCAACAGGGTTTAGTCTGGTTGGGTTTTTGAATACATTCCAGTTAGTCAAGTCAATCTACAGCTGTATATGACACTTTCAAACAAATGCTGTATCCATAGTAACATTTACCTAAATATATTTAGACCATATATATTCGTTGTGTTCTACCTAAAGAAGTCAAATTAATACAAAATACAATATAATATTTTATCATATGATCTGTAAAATGAAGCCCTCTGATTGGTCAGTTTTTGTGCTGTATCAATCTGTATTGCTACTGAGATTGTCCCCATTGATCATCTCCATAGCAATACAGAAAATATTGGTACGGGGACAATCTAAGTAGCAAAACAGAGAATACAGTAGGGATTATCTCCTGAGTATCTGTCTCGATATTGTGTATTGGCACTAGACTTCGTCTCATTCCAATACGGAATTTCTCAAGCAGAATATATCCCGTATTGCATTTCAAATCATTCAATAACTTTCAGAATTTATATTATGATACTCTTTGATAAATAATAAAATAAATTTCAATTCTAGTTCATTATTGCATGAATTTTTGTAATTCTGGGACAATACCTTTAAGGAAGTGGATATATACATCTTAGATAGGAGTTAAATGAAATGAACCAATACAATATATTACCTTCAAATGCGGGGTTTTCCTGTCCCAGGGGGACACTAACAGGGTCTTTATCCTTCCCTTCTAAGACACACTCCACACACTGGTGAATACAGATGTATTGTTGCTAAAAAAATACCATTATAGTTTTATTAATTCTATCAATTAGACTGCGAGTAGGTTGTGTATTCTTGGATTTGGAAACTACAAATACATACATCAAACATGCTTAAAAACTATTTCATTACTGACTTAATACTTGAAATATATATTTCCCGCAGACAAAAGGGCAAGATAAACATGTATTATCCAAAATATCATGTTATATTTGATCTCTATTTGATTTATCATTCATTGTAATATAGTTTCTGAATCAAATAAACATATGAGCATGGATTATACTTCTGAGTTTTATCCATATAAAGTAAAAACACTGAAAATGAGGCTGTTGCAATGCAGCTGATTGACAACAGTAATTTTAATCACATGATCAGTTCTCAGGCAATAATAAAGTAAGAAACACTGGAACGAAACATGAAACTATTTACTTACTTCAGTTTGGACCATCCACACTCGATGTCTTCTCATTTCATGGACGTATCCAAATATGTCAGCCTCATTGCTGGTCTTGATATGTTGTAACAAGCGGTCTACGCATATATAAGTCCCTGATCTACCAACACCCGCACTGGAAACATGAAGCAATTAAATGCAAAGTTCTCCCCATCTTTGATTAACACCAAATAAGCTAACTCATGTTCTCTTATCACGAAATTTGAGGAGTGTTCATGTTCATGTCAAAATCTTTCATGGCTAAACTGATCACAAGTGAATTTACAAATGAGAGTGGAAACTTCAATGTTTGATTGGATGCAGTGTCATGATCTGATTTAAGATTTTTAACCAAACTGAGCACAAATGGATTTCAAAATGGAAGTGTTTCGTGGAAAACTTCAAATGCACAATAGGATGCAGTATAAATTACTCTCAGACTCTGTGAACTATTGATGGATTCAAATTTTATGATGTCCTTGATTTATATACGACCACCTACCTGCAATGTACTACTATAGGGCCCTCGATGTTTGTTGAGAGGAGTTTTTCACGGACAATCCGCACAAACTTGATGAGAGATTGAGGTCTCTGTGGAACACCAAAGTCTGGCCATGCTGTATAGTGGAAGTGTTTTATATTCCTAGAGGTGGCACCCTAAAATGTTCAATAATATAAGGTTGAAAGGGAAGGGTCTATAAATCAACATACCGTATTCTCTGTAATTAGCGCCCAGGGCGGTTAGAAAATTGAAAATACATCATTCAGACCATTCTAATAAGCGCCCATGTATGAAAGAAATCAGAAATCCCAAGAAATTTCATGTATGGCAATTTTTCTTGCCAAGAATGCCTTATTTTTAACATATTTTTATAATAATGATAAGTATTGTTATTGGAGAGAATACGGGAAAGATCGCTTAGACAATATTGACAGTAATTGAAGACCAATTTATTTCTGGCAAGCACACTTTGTCATTATCGCCGATTACCTTCAATATTTCCACTAGAGACTGTTGGATATCAATCTAAAGTTATACTTTATTTTAAATATTGATGAGAGATCATCATTTTTCATGTAAAAGTCGTGTAAGAGTCAAGAAACGTCAAAAAGAAACCAGAAAGTTCACAACCTTGACATGCGCAGAACATCTGCGCAGTAGCTTTCGGATATTACTGAATGCCGATAAAGAACAATTCCTTAATTCATTATGGACTATTCTGAGACAATATTAGCATAGTATGGTGTGGGAAGCACCCATCGATAGATATTTATCAAGAGGATGCATAGAATTATAAAACACTTTGTGTTTACAGCAGTTAAAGTGCCCGAAAAACTATAAAATGCGCATGCGTCCAGGTGTTGATAAACTATAAATAGCGAAAATCCAGGGTTTGTCACCACAAGGTAAGCCAGGACGTGTTGAGAGAACAGCTAGTGTTGATATTGAATTTACATGTAGCCAGATAAGTTTCCTTATTGAAATTACATATGGTTATTAGCAATACTTTGTAGGTGCTAAATAATAAAATATTTAGAGTATATATGAGAGAAATTGGTCATTTCGAACCTGTTGAAAAGTTTGTGGCTCTCGGCTACACCGGGGAATTTACTTCCATGAGTACACACATAAATGTGGGGTTCCCCATGAGGTATGCGACAAGGTGACCTGGCATCAAATGTGCGACTAAATGCTACTATCGAGAAGATAAAATAACGAATACGACAATAAGTTATTGCATGTGACAATTCCGAGCCTTCATCTCACTGAAGTATTTTGAAGTGAAAATAGGATTTTTGTTTTGATACATGGATTCAGATTAACGTAACTTTATTCTGACAACTAATCAAAACTGAACAAAATTGATTGTACGTAACAGACAATTTATTGTTTTACAATGTTTTGATTGGCTAAACAAATGAAACCAACAAATTATGACATTTAAAATGACAATTTTGAAATGTAAAATTTAAAAGTGACAAACACAACCTCCCTATCCACTCTTTGGGAGCCCTAGTAAATTAGTAATATGTACATGCAGCAGTGGTAGTGTACAGCTTATTATCACACTACGCTTTGTATTCTAAAGCCTGTTGTTTGTAATAACACTGTTCACTCAACGTATGTTTTGTGTGTGGGTAGTCAACGATAATCATTGTTTTATCCCGGTTATATGACCTCGGCAATTATAACAGAACCGTACTAAACGAAAAAACGCAAATAAGAGAAAGCTTTCACACACATATAAAAAATGAACTAGTCTAATCCGCCAGTATAAACTCTGTGCTATACGTAGCCGGGTCAGGCGCACACTTTAAGGGTAAGTACTCTATTATCGCCCGCTCATGGATTTTCAGAAATATGATTTTTTCTAATAGATTCTTCCATTCTTGCTGATTCCTCGATGTTTCTTGAACTTTGTGAAGCGGGGTGGGCGCTTATTAGAGGATGGGCGGTAATTACAGAGAATATGGTACCATACTATGCAACAATACAAGTAATGTCTTAGGAGAAGTCTGTAAATCAACATAACGTACTATGCAACACAAATTTTTTTGTCTGAGGTAAACAATTCTTTGAATACAAGTAATGTCTTAAGACAATGAAACATAATTTCATTATATACACTTAGCTTTGTTTGAATCTCCAACCCACCCCTTAAAACAAAAAAACATTGACCATTGCATTGTTGATAAACCCAATGTATTTCTAGACAGTGAAGCAATAATAAACAGCTTTTAACATGAAATAGAGATTTTTTTAACTTGAAATACAGTAACTAGAGATTTCAAGGGTGTAACACTTACTAGTGATATTTTAAACTCGCTTATAGTCCACTCGGTGCAGTGAGTCTCATTTAGTATGACAACTTGTAGATCACCATAGAAACAGGGATCAGAATCATTGGGCCAATAGTGGTCGCATCTTTCCTGAAATCCATGAGATCCATTTAAGCAATTCTGGTTTATTATGTAAATCATGAGTGGAGATTTTGAAATCAAACAGGAGCTAGACACTTAAATCAAATGTCATATTTGTCATAATTGTTGAAGAAAATTGAGACTAGAACTGCCCTGATTAAAATATGTATCGTTCAGAAATGAAAATGACAATGAAGTACACGCACTATGCATGCAAGTAGTACATGTACAATAAAAACAAGGCATTACCATGCAAAATGTCACCACCATTTGTTACAAATGCCAACCACTGAACGCCAACCACCGCCTGCTGTCAAAAACGGAGACCATAACAATATGTCACCACTTTTTGGTGGTGACATAATAAACTGAGGTTCACATACTGTATATAAAATATAACTGTTTAAAGTTAGTTGATGTTTTGATTCTTTTGTACTTTTCTGTTGTACTCTTAGGTTGAGGTATGACATTAATTTTGAACTTACTCTTCCCTTCTCTATACACTTTGTGAGCATTACAATAGCTTTGCAGTTCTGTTCCCACACCATACGCCAGAAATCATCCTTTGTGGCAGCAAGGGGACCTTGTGTTACGATGAACTCTCGCTTAGATGTATGACCCTGCAAACATATACAAGATATTTCGTTACAAATCTACCTCTTTTTTGTACAATTCCAAATGACAATTTAGGATCTAAATGGTGTACAGCTATTGAATCACTGCATGTGTATTTATATAAAAAATATTTGTTTGTCATTTGAAGACAGTTAATCATTGATTGATACGTCAGTGTCCATAGCCTGTCACTTTGACATGATATGAACAAGCACCATTCAAACAATGTAACACCAGGTTCATGAAAAGTCTGTAGTTCTGTGTTGTTGCATTACTCTAGCAAGTTTAGTAACCATAATTCTAATAATGCTTTATCAAATGTTTTTTGCACTTCTAGTCTCAATACAGAAAACTTATAGCATATAGTTCATATACTTACAGGCATGTAGTTGGCATTTAAACATACTTACAGGCATATAGTTGGCATTTAAACATACTTACAGGCATATAGTTGGCATTTAAACATACTTACAGGCATATAGTTGGCATTTAAACATACTTACAGGCATATAGTTGCCATTTAAACATACTTACAGGCATGTAGTTGGCATTTAAACATACTTACAGGCATATAGTTGGCCTTTAAACATACTTACAGGCATATAGTTGGCATTTAAACATACTTACAGGCATATAGTTGGCATTTAAACATACTTACAGGCATGTAGTTGGCATTTAAACATACTTACAGGCATATAGTTGGCATTTAAACATACTTACAGGCATATAGTTGGCATTTATATAGTCAGATCCTTCTTCATCATCTGTAGGGAGAAGTTTAACTCTAGAATGGTCATACGGGAGAATGTTTGTGAAGCGATTCTTTGCACGATTTACTGGCAACTCTGCAGCACTAGTGGGTTGGTCCCTGCCTACTTGCTTCAAATCCTGAAGAATGAAATACAACAAATGATTTAAAATGGTAATGAGTTCATGTATAAATAAATACACTATAAAGGAAGAATACTGTAACTTTTTCATCAAAATAATGTATTACACGAGGTTCACAGTATTTCTTATCGTAAAGTCTTCAAGTTGTGTTTCACTCACATGCATTAATTGCACTCTAGTTGCCTGTAAAATGTAAATGCACTTTAGCAGGTATTTACACTATGAGGTTCATTTAACATGGACGTATTCAGTTTCATTATTTATGACCACTAGGACTATATTATGTGAACCAAATGTGTATTCATGTAACAATTTTGGTATTTCAAAAAGTGTTCCACTTGAGAGGTTCCACTTTCAGTGGTTCTTTTATGTCATGTTATTCCACTTATGGATGTGTTCCACCTTAAAGATTTGTTACAAACCTCATACTCCTCTGAATAGCCAAAGTCTGAGTCTTTACTGAGAAGACGAATGTGCTCCACAAGCTGATCTAATGGTACAGGTCGACTGGAGAGTAACAAATATTATGAATAAATAAAAAGGTTGCATTTTGCAATAAGTTCAACAGTGTGATGTTTCAATACAAGTTATGAGGCACAGTTTTTATGTTTTTGATATTTTCCTATATAACAATCTAAGACTGCATTATTTTGTAAAGTTATCATTTGTGATTACATGAACAAACTGATGTTTTCCTATTACTTAGAGAAGAGGCATAGTTTTTACTTTCTACTTCATGAATACAATTACTATAAAATGAAAATTTTAATGAAATGAAACACAGTAGAGATACCTGAAACAAGATGGACTTAACAGATGTTTCATTAAAATAACAAGAGGCGGAAATTACAATTTTAACATAGAAACTGGTTGTGTGCAAAGCCACCTGTTGCCTGCTCTAATGATACTCCTTATATCTTACCTGCTAGCAAATCTATCAGTTTGTCTTTGACTGCCCAGCCCTGACAGACTGAGGGGAGGCTCTGATCCCTTCTTGCCATCTCCCTTACATATGATGCCTCGCCTCCGTAGCAGGAACAACAGGATTAGAACGATGGCAAGAATCAACACCATGGCAACCACTAGGCCTGCGATCAGAGCAACGTTTGACTGGGTTGTTGGACGTACAGCTGGAATAAATATATGATGTATGTATAAATGGAAGTGAGTGTCTTGAAAATATCGTGAACTACAATATTTAGATCCAATTGTCTTTCTGGCTCAACTTATGTCATGGCGATATAATGAATGGAATAGAAATTCATGAAGCAAAATTAAGCAAATGCATCATGAAAAAATTGTTTAGAAAATTCCATCCTCCTAAGCAGGTGTCCAGAATCCGTACCTCCTTCTTCCCCCCTGCTATAACCAATTTGGAAGCCCCGATTTAACTGAATCACGTGATCTAATTATGCGCAATGACTTATACATAATTTCTGTCACAGTGTTGCGACAGCCAATCAGATTGCGCGTTCTTAATCGGGGAAATGCTAACCGCTTATCGCAGGGGGTAAAAAGAAAGAATATATTCTGGATTTTGAAGTCCTGTGATCGGAGGATGGAAAATTCAGAATTCATAAAGATTGTATGGCTGCCATTATTTTTCTACAATGAAATAATATGTTATCTAATCTCAAATTCAATGGTCTTGTAAAAATCAAAATTGTATTAGTTAAAAATGTAAGGATGTTTGTTTTTTATTTTCTACAAATACAAGTTAGATTTGATAAGAGTGACGTCACATAGGACAACCATAGCAACTTGAACTTTAAGCTCAATCAAATAAATCACTAATCATGAGGCAGTAACCTCTGTTTTGGTACCAGGTCTTAAACAAGGCATTAACATGACAAAATGTCACCACCTAAAACAATTTGGTCAATTTAAAGCAAGTTGGAAAATACCTTTTGACCTTAAGAAGGTTTTTGAAGATTTGAGCTTCTGGGATCTTGAAGATGATTTTGAAAAAAGAAATTGTTCAATCTGAAGCAAGTTGAAAAAATACCTCTTTGAATTTTTTTGACATTGAGAAGGTCATTGAAGGTCAAATGTCAAATGTAAAGTCAGATTTGAACTTCTGAGAACATGTAGATGATTTTGAAAAAAAATTAAGTAAATTTGAAGCAAGTTGAAAAAAGACCTTTTTGACCTTGAAAAGGTCATTGAAGGTCAAATGTCAAATCTAAAGTCAGATTTGAACTTCTGAGAACATGTAGATGATTTTGAAAAAAAATAAGTCAATTTGAAGCAAGTTGAAAAAAGACCTTTTTGACCTTGAGAAGGTCATTGAAGGTCAAAGGTCAAATCTAAAGTCAGATTTGAACTTCTGAGAACTTGTAAAGTCAAATTTGAACTTCTGAAAAGATGTAGATCATTTTGAAAAAAAAATTTGGTCAATTTGAAGCAAGTTGAAAACAGACCTTTTTGACCTTTTTTGACCTTGAGAAGGTCATTAAAGGTCAAATGTCAAATCTAAAGTCAGATTTGAATTTCTGAGAACATGTAGATGATTTTGAAAAAAAAAATTAGTCAATTTGAAGCAAGTTGAAAAATACCTTTTTGACCTTTTTTGACCTTAAGAAGGTCATTGAAGGTCAAATGTCAAATCTAAAGTCAAATCTAAAGTCATATTTGAATTTCTGAGAACATGTAGATGATTTTGAAAAAAAAAATTAGTCAATTTGAAGCAAGATGAAAAAATACCGTTTTGACCTTTTTTGACATTGAGAAGGTCATTGAAGGTCAAATGTCAAATCTAAAGTCAGATTTGAATTTCTGAGAACATGTAGATGATTTTGAAAAAAAATTTTAGTCAATTTGAAGCAAGTTGAAAAAAGACCTTTTTGACCTTTTTTGACTTTGAGAAGGTCATTGAAGGTCAAATGTCAAATCTTAAGTCAAATCTAAAGTCAGATTTGATTTTCTGAGAACACGTAGATGATTTTGAAAAATTTTTTTAGTCAATTTGAAGCAAGTTGAAAACAGACCTTTTTGACCTTTTTTGACCTTGAGAAGGTCATTGAAGGTCAAATGTCAAATCTTTAGTCAGATTTGAATTTCTGAGAACACGTAGATGATTTTGAAAAAAAAATTTAGTCAATTTGAAGCGAGTTGAAAACAGATCTTTTTGACCTTTTTTGACCTTGAGAAGGTCATTGAAGGTCAAATGTCAAATCTAAAGTCAGATTTGAAGGTCAAATGTCAAATCTAAAGTCAGATTTGAATTTCTGAGAACATGTAGATGATTTTGAAAAAAAATTTAGTAAATGTGAAGCAAGTTGAAAAAAGACCTTTTTGACCTTGAGAAGGTCATTGAAGGTCAAATGTCAAATCTAAAGTCAGATTTGAACTTCTGAGAACAAGTAGATAATTTAGAAAAAAATTGAAGTCAGTCTAAACAGTATTGTTAAGTTATAGGAAGTTGTAAGAAATTGTTACAGACGCCGGACGCCAACCTCCAACCGCCGGACACCAACCTCCAACCGCCGGACGCCAACCGCCGTCGCAAAAAAACGGAGACCATAACAATATGTCACCACTTTTGGTGGTGACATAATAGATTGGTTCAGCAGTATTGAAATGGCAAATTCTTAGATCTTACTTCTTGATCCCCCTGTATTTCCCTTTTTCATATGACTATCTAGTATCCCAAATTCAAAGAAACAGTAATTGGAAGAATTTTGAAATAAATTATCATTCTAAAGAAATTGCAAAAGTCGCATACCAGTTTTCATAGGTGAAGAATATAATGTGTCAGTGTGACCTGCTTCTGTGTATGCTCGTAGCCTCACATAATAATCTGTATTGGGTTTAAGGGGTCCATTACAATAATCCTCATTGCTACATGTTTCTCCTCCAACAACAAAAGTCTTTGACTCCCCTGTGGACCGTCTCTTCCGTGCACTCAATACAGTATTGCCCCCACATGTACTGGTGGGCTCGAAGAAATCCTTACATGGGGCCGTTGCTTGATATGGCGGCCATATTGCTTTAGATTTGATGTCTTGGTATTTTGGTAATGTTCCATTTCCGATTGGAATGCTTGAATCTTCTGTCACTATGACTGAGTATCCAGTAATTTCCCCATTATCCTCATTGAATGGGTTAATGAAGTTCACACTCAGTGTATCATGGGATGAAGTGTCTTCCACCTTGGATGGCTTAGACTCTGTCAGAGGAATGGCCGTCGCAGGAACTGAAAATGTTTTTGAAATGAAGTTGAAAAATTATTGAAATTTTGTTATTATGGATTGGACTATGAACATTTTTTAGTAATGTCAAAGGGGTCTCAATAATCTCAGTTCATGAGATAAAATTAATATCTTAAAATTATGGAACTGAGGTAAAGAGCAAATATTCCAGATACTATGTTAATTTCAGAATCTTTTGAACTTTCCATCATTATGTCTTTTTTCTAAAAATGCCAAACTTCATCCATTTATTTAAAAGTTACTTGCAATTTTGTCATTTGTTAATTTCTGATTCTAACTTTATATTCTGAACCTTTATAATTCTATGGCAAACATCAAAGAAATCAGTATCAGAGTTGCCATTTTGAAATACTCCACTAACATTATGTTTATGTTTTAAAATACAATTTCTGAAATATCAATAAAGTCAAGGTTTAAATTCACATTGAAATATATCTTATATGTCAGATTAATAGGGAGTTCCCTTTGATATTTTGTAGACTTATTGTTGTTGTAACTTACTGTCAATACTCAGGGTTATTCTCACTGTTGCTGCAGGCCCCCTGTATTTTGTATTTGCTGATAACTAAAAGAAATAAAATTATTGTGAAAATACTGTTTATAACAGAGCTTTAAAAACAGGGACAACGTTTCAAAAACACAATTTATAACCAGTCCATGGTAAAGTATGTATTTTGTGAAAATCTTGTGAAAGATCTTGTAAAGAGTTTTAAGAGGATTTATTATACAGTGTACTGTTTATTGCAGTAAATGTTGTGAAAGTACCAACTTTAAAAGAAAATGTCATATAAAATAGGCTATTCATTTTTAGGTAAATAGCATTTGAATCTTTCAACATTCTATTCCATTTATAAAATATGATCATTTTGGAATACCCTTTTCATAGAAAATAACCAGGAGGCATGTGAAAAATACATCATGCTATTGATGCATCAACATGAAAGCACCAAAGGCAAACTTTGAAAACCAAAGTCAATTTATGGATCTAGTTAGGATTTATAGAAACCTCCAAACCACATGAACACAAAACGATGGGCATTTTATATAGAATAATTAATTTCAACTCACTGTGAATGTGTACATGTATCCTGCCCTTAGTTGACTCAGTATGATCTTAGTGTCTCCAGCCTCAGGACTCGCTGAGCCTGTACTTGTACTAGCCTAGAGGAAGAAAATACAGATTAAAAAACGTAGAAGGTGAAGCATGTACTATAGAGCCATACTTTTTAAGTGAGCAAATGTATATTATCCAAAATGCAATAGTAAAAGATTAACAATTGTAGAGTAAACAAGGTGCATAGTGATAAATATTGCACTTTGAAAAGCAAAATGTAATCATACAAGCAATACTAATATATATAATAATATATGTTGCCACTATGCGCTTACACGTTGAATGGAAAAATGTTTTTTATGTGCCTAAACAGACAAGATAACAACAAATATATAACACATTTTTAAGTGCAACTATTGCCATCATAAAAATCATACCCTACAATGATTATGTTGTTCATCTTACCTTATCAGCACTTTCACCTGTGTAGCTTATGTGATAATCCTTCAACTCTCCATTGAGTTGTGTAGGAGGCAGCCAGGTCAGTTCAACCTCATTTGGCTTCAACTCTTTCACATTGAACTCCCTGGGTGAGCCAGGAGCTGCAATTAATCAAATGATCGATGAAAAGAGAATTGCATTCTCCTAAGCAGTTGTCCAGAATCCATACCTCCTTCTTCCCCCTGCTATAACCAATTTGGAAGCGCCCTATTTAACTGAATCACGTGATCTAATTATCCTCAATGACTTATACATGATTTCTGTAGCAGTGTTGCGACAGCCAATCAGATTGCGAGTTCTTAATCGGGGAAATGGTAACTGCTTACCGCAGGGGGTAAAAAGAAAGATTATATTCTGGATTTTGAAGCCCTGTGAACGGAGGATGGAGAATTGCTGATCGAGGAATTTATATTAATTTCATTTAATATGGAGAGGGTTAAAGTCTTTTACGTCCTCTTACTATGATATCAATATCTAAAAAAACAACAAAAAGAAACAATGTTTATTCACATTGAGTGAGGAAGGGCGAATATAAAATGTGACAATAACGAATGTAATTAATTACATTATGGGGAAACATCACAGGGGAAACATTTACCAGTTCCTTTAATACCTACCTGCTTCATCTGTGCTTGTTGAAATGATTCGCTCAGAACTCGATTTCTCTCCAAGATAAGCTATCACTCTGAACAAATACTCTGTATTTGGCTGTAGGCCCCCATATTCTAGCGTCACTGGAGCATTGAGGGAGAAATCTGTAATGTTCTGTTCCTGTGGGGAGCATAACTCCCCATTCTTTCCAATACATTTCACTAAGTAGCGGTCCACTGTGCCATTGGGGTGTTGCCAGGTGACAGTTATGGACTGGTTCAGAACAACTAATGTAGGAGGATCAATCTGGTGCGGATCTACACAAGGGTAAAAAGAACCATTTATGAATAAACTATTGTTATATTTCTTTATTTAAGAATAACAAAAGCAATGTGTACCTCAAAAGTTAAACATATTATGTTCTACTCTGAATAATCAATTTAAAATTTGGAGTAAGCTTATACGCTGTAGTTTTATTTTGATTTTCTTTTGAAAGCCTCTGATTTGAGAAGGGAAATTAAATTAAGATTCTTCCTTGAGAGAAAGTCCAACCCCCCTCCCCAAACATGTGTCCAAGCCTCCCCATCCTCCCCAAACATGTGTCCAAGCCTCCCCCTTCTCCCCAAACATGTGTCCAAGCCTCTCCCTCTTACCCATACATGTGTCCAAGCCTCCCCCTCCTCCCCAAACATGTGTCCGAGCCTCCCCTCCTCCCTAAACATGTGTCCAAGCCTCCCCTCCTCCCTAAACATGTGTCCAAGCCTCCCCCTCCTCCCCAAACATGGGTCTAAGCCCCCCCCTCCTCCCCAAGCACGTGTCCAAGCCTCCCCCTCCCCAAACATGTGTCCAAGCCTCCCCCTCTTCCCCAAACATGTGTCCAAGCCTCCACCTCCTCCCCAAACATGTGTCCAAGCATCCCCCACCTAACTGCACCAACATGATTAAAGTAATTCAACATGTTCTTATCCATTCAGTCCACATTCCCAACATGTTCCTAACATTCACTTACTTGTATTAACAGAGTATGGCTGACATGGTTGACTGGTCTCAGTGTTACTGACAACCTCTGTATTCACTGTATAGTAGGTCCCTGCATTGAGGCCTGTGAGAGTTACCTAAAAAGGGAGGCTGTGTCAGTGAAATGCCTTAAAATAAAACACAACACCTGAAGGGTGTTCAACTTACAGGGGTTCATTAACATTAAGAAATGGGTGATGAAAAACATCTCAAAATAGTATTTTTCATAGACAAACATAAAACCCGACCTTTTTAAAGAAAATAAACATTTGTAATTTAAATTGCCATGAATTTAATAAAGAACGGGAGGATTTAACAATATCCACATTTGAACAATTACTTTTGAGAAAACACTAAATGATATTTGACCCAACCCCTCATAGCAGAGCTTATACATACTGTTTTCTCATCTGTAGATGAGCGTTCAAAGTTTCTACTTGCAGGATTTGTAGTGAATATAATCTTGTCAAATACTCCAGAGTTTTGTGTGTATTCTAGTGTTATACTGTTGGTGGTAGATGCTGATGTATCCTCATTTAATATCAGATCACACACTGGCACTGGAATGTATGATACAACAATGAAGATATATAAGGGTTATGGATTGGGAGGTTTTGGATAAAGGGTTTTAAATTATGCCCGGTAGAGTTTTAGGGAGATAAGTTTGTAAGATATATCCTATATCCTAATTTTGAGGTTTCCATATCCAGAACCTCAATATCTCCCACCTGTGGGCATATCTTCCTGCTTTGAAAAGAAATTGACAAAAAAGTTTTAAAAAAAATGAAAAATATTTTTTGAAAAAAAAATTGACAAAAATAAGAATTGAAAAATTAGAAAACTCTACTGGGCATAGGATAAAGCAGTTATGTATGGTCGGTTTGGATATGGGGTTTATCCTTGTGAGATATGGACATCTACCTTTGGCCCCTCAGGTAGATATGCATATCTCACTTTGGATAAACTACATATACAAAACCTCCAAGTATGTATCTATTTATACCATATACGTTAGAGGTAAATGAGGAAGATACATTTCATTGGCCTCTGGATAATCCCAATATTATGACCTCAGATGGGATAAACTCTGTATCACCCACAAGGAACTGAGGGATGGTAGTATATATGGAATACAATATGACATTCATTTTAAATCATTTTTAAAAGATATCCCATTTTATATTTTGGTTAAAGTAATATACTGTAATGATTTGAATGATAATATTATAGAAATCAAAATTGTAAGGCTTTAATCTTGAGATTCAAGATACTGAATTGAAATCCAAAATTTTATACAATCTTTGTTCTCCAAGCATAAGCCGCGAGATAACATAATGTAACATGCAAATTGTTGACTGACTTCATCCTAAAGGTCAATCTTAGGATCATACAATTACATGGATTCCCTCGTACATGTATTAAAATAATACCAGCATGCATCACTGAAGTATAGAATTCAATTTACTGGCTCAAAGGATCGTACAAAATCATGGCAGAGCAGTAATCAATAAAAAACAAAGTCTTCCCTTGATCCAGAATTTACATTAACCTCACAATTTAAAGCAATACAAAAATGGCATTTTACCCTAAAACCAGGAAAATCATATAGGGGGTAAAGAGGGGGACATACCCTGGAAATAATAAATGAACCTAGTTTCATGAATCTCTAATGTTCATCTACTAATTTGGGGTATTCCCCCTCTTAGGAATACAAAATCTTCACACCAAAAAATGACATGGAAAACATGGATGAATGATTAAAGAAACTTCTGGGGGAAACCTGGACATTAAAAATCACAAAATGTTAGTCACCGTAATGTAGGGCAACCAGGGTACATAAATAAATGGAAATAAAAACAACTGGATGACTATGGGAAAATATTATTTACTCGGCTTACCATTTCCGCTAGCTGAAAGACAAATTAAGTTACATTACATATTTAAAGCAGCACACAATGAAAAAATAAACCAGCAATTGAACAAGGTGACTAACCATAACATGATATGAGGTCCTACCTGAGAATGTTGATACACAGAGGAATACAGCCTAGAGTCTCATCTTAACAGTATTTATTTCTAAAAACCTGTGAGTGACCTGATATAAGGGTGGTTCAAGGTATATAGCCTTTTTGGCCCACATGAGAAATATCTCATACAGGAGATTAGGCTCTTAATACATGTTAGGCAAAGTAACATTATGAATTCATGTAATACTGCTTATCATGATAAATGGCTATAAAAATGAAATGCAATAAAACATTGTATTTATTCAAGATACGCAACCTTAAACAATGTTTCCATAGTAACCAAAGGAGCATTATATTACAAAGCTGCAAGTTGATGATTACAATCTTGATACAGGTAATTGATATGATTGATGTTTTCAATTAGGAGAATGCCAAAATTATGATTTGCAGTATATTTCAAATAGAACTGAAAATTTGAAATAATACATAAGAACACAAGAAACCCATGATTTACTACACCAATCCAAGAATACATCTTATGCGTCCATCGTTCAAGTCCAGGATAATATTCCATAGTGATGCAGATCTATAGATTTTTCATAATTTTGAAACGTTAGAGTGTAGAACTCCAGTAGGTAGAGAAAACATGTTATGTATATTTTTGGATACAGGGTCAATCTCTCAGGAAATATGTGTATCTACCCCTGTACCTCAGAGGATATAATTCCTCAGTCATGTATTGTATACTATAATAATAATTAATAATAAAAATAGGCCTTATAATCTGTTTATTATTGAGATGAACAAAACCTCCTCATTCTTACCTGTATTCAGCATACTAATATCCCCCTGACTTAGTAATCCCCTGGCTGATAATCCTCTTGACTTATATATCCTTGACTTATAATCCTCTGGACTTATATTTCCCTGACTTACAATCTTCTGGACTTATAATCCCCCTGGCTTATAATCCTCTGGACTAATAATCACCCTGGCTTGTAATCCTCTAGACTTATATCCCCTTGACGTTTAATCCTCTGGACTTATAATCACCCTGGCTTATAATCCTCTGGACTAATAATCACCCTGGCTTGTAATCCTCTAGACTTATATCCCCTTGACGTTTAATCCTCTGGACTTATAATCACCCTGGCTTATAATCCTCTGGACTTATATCCCCTTGACTTATAATCCTCTGGGCTTATATTCTTCTGCCTTACTCTCCACTTATTAATAATAAGTTTTTGACGCAACAAAATTTTAGAGGCAATTTGTACTATATTCAGTTGAAATGAGAATGTGTCTATAAAACCTTCAATCAGGTTGATGAACCATCAGCTAATTGTAGTGGAATGCCTTGGAAATAAACTACATATTTCAATTAGGGATTTGCGTAATCCCGAAACTCATAAGCTTTTTATTTTCCTAATTACCCAAAATTGCACCTCGGTAATCATTAATAAATAATTTATGGCTGATGTATCGATTGTAGAATGTGGAATTTCCAAGGAGATGATCTAGGGAATATCAGCATTCTGCAATATGATCAGCTCTAGGCTTGAGTATTCATTCAAATGTACACATCAATGCAATGTTGTCTTAGTGTTAATCTTGGAAAGCCTTTTCTTGTTAATCAATATTCAAATGTATTTTGTCACTTATCCTGATATCCTATTACGAAATGTGATCCTTTGATCCATTGTAGATTAAGGAAGATTATCCAATAATGCCCTATGTGCAACTTGTATGCAATTAAACCATCAGTGTCTGCAGTACATTAAATTGGTATGATGCACATTACATTGGAACAGCTGTATACATAAAAAATAATGCAATCTTACTGGCATATGAAAAAAGTATTAATTGATAACTGATTTCATCCTCTTCAAATTGGACTGCTTCATCATATTCCAAAGCGCAACTTTTGAAAATCTGGTATGTAATCTTAACAAAATTAGATTGTGTATTACATATAGTTTTAGGCTGATTAATTTTTTCAATCGATTTCCAAGGGCTACAGTTTCCCTAGTATAGGAATGAAGTAACAGTTGGTCTAAATTATACTCAAGAATGAACAAAATATTCCTGGTATAATAAAAACAGTCATTCTGTATACTGTATTTATATACAATACACCAGGTACTGGTACATTCACTATACATGTAGTATAAATATTAGGCTTGATACAAAACATTGAAGGCAAGATATTATTTTATCAAATAATATTTTTATCTGTTCAGATTATCATATATTTTTTTACCATGACCCCTCAGATGCTTATTATCATGACCTCTCATACACTTAATTATAGAATTTGATTGGATGACTGAAATCAATCATTGTATCAAAGAGGTTTTTTAAGTTCTACTTGGTTCTACTTTTTCATCCATAAAATCTAATAAACAGCAATTAATTTCATAATTGACTATTAATTACTTCTTTCCTTATAACTGACATCATGATAGGAATACATGTCTGTTTATGTCAAATAAAATGTAACATCATTATGAGCTGCATAAGAGAAGTACTGAAATAGCTGTATTTAGCATTCACTCCCTAATAAGCACCAATCCTACTACACATACACAAAGTTCAAGAAATATCAAGGAATAACCAAGTATAATGGAAACATCAGAAAAATTTAATTTCCAAACAGGTTGGCAATAATATGGTACTTACATTAAAATGGGGTTAAAAGTGATGCAATTTGCAATGCATCCTCCCGATAAATATCTATCATTTTGCTTGGTGCTTTCAAGTGTTTTTCAACTCTGAACTATTGTCAGCCAATATCTCTTCCTCTTCTGTTTTTCATAGAGCTTTATGCCAAATCATTACCCTAATAAAATGTTTCTCAACCATATCGGTTAGCAATATAAATGCCCGAGTGTTAACTTGTATGACGCTGTATACAGCCACCTATATGCTGGTCTATGCTTGAGTATTCTCTTGCATGACCCCATATACACCCCCCTAAGAGGGGGATTAACACCAGAGTTCAAAGATGCCATACGCTTATAATGTAAACCTGTATTGAGATGACATACACCTCAGATTGGTCCAAATCGATAAACAAAAATGGCGGATTCAAAATTTTCTAATAACGCTTCGAATAATATTATGTTGATTCCTGGCGAATTAACCAATATCATAGCTTTGTTTTTCACATCAAGATAAAGAAATATGTAAGGAATATGTTTACATTGATTAAAACATAATGACGACACGATATGTTCGAAAATTAACTGGTGAGAATTTGCGCAAACGAAGGTGGTACGCAAGAGACGTATTATGTCAGTCATCGCTAAAGCTCTGGGGCTTTCCCCCCCTTCACCCACCTATGCCTGAGTGTTCACTTGTATGACCCCATATAAACCCACCTGTATGCTGCTCAATGCTTGAGTATTCACTTGTATTATCTGCTACTGTTACTATCCACACAGTATATAACTCTCCCGCAGTCAAATTCTTCAACGTAACATTAAAATCCTCTGTGTTTTCTATTTTCAATGCATCTGGGTTATCCTTGGGCCAATATAGGATTTTAAATTCAACTTCAGTTGATGTGTTATTTTCCAAGTTCCATTCTAAAC